GACTCGTCACAACTGTCATCAGTTTGTTTGGTCCTGAATCACTGTCGCTGGCTGCCAATGAGCCCTTCCACACTGGGCCTACGCTGGTACGCCTGCGCCCTGTGAGCGACTCTTGTCTGAGGCTGCTTCATTTCTCTTCTTGCCTTTTGTTTTTGGCCAGACAGACATCTCCATGGCAACAGCCAGAGTGGCAAGTCTCACTGCACTCCACTCTGAAATGAAACTGGCATCAGATTTTAACCAAGGAACGGCACCGAAGAGGAGATATGCACCGCGGGGCTATTTGCCTTTAGTCTCAACATGTGCGGTCCATAAATATCGTGAGATATTGTGCGACAGACCAGTAGAAAAAAAAGCAGGTCGGAGGGTTGAGCGGGGTTTCAAATGCCTGTGCTTTTAATCATTATCTCACAGGCCATCTTGTTCCTGTAAGACCCTCATGAATAGACCAAATTAACAGCGGCCTTCCACAATTGAAAGGATTGTTGTGAGTCAGCCACTTTACTGCCCCGACAGCGTTTTGTTTAAATGGCTGGAGACCGACCTATGACGCCCAATAAGCCAAACACCCATAAGCCCACCTCCCCTTTTCTTTTTGACTCGCTGTCTGTGCAACAGTCTCATCTCGCAGCGGTTTCTCTCTGCCTCTCCTTGTTTACAAATTATTAAGCATTACTAAACATACTAAACAACCTGCAAAGTAAAGAAGTACTGCTGGGTCCATATATTTTCCGAAGCATTGTCCTTTTCCCACCACTTACCTCCAAAGGATCTTCTTATCTCTTTGTCCAGTACAACGTGTGTCCCCATGTGCTCCTTGTCATTCTTCTTGTCGGCCAGTGCGCGCCCATATTTCCTTCTCTCTTTCCCTTTCTGCCTCCAAACGCCTCTCATTGACCTTCACTGTTAATGCGAAAAGAGCTTAAAGACATGCATGGTTTGCTTGAAAAAAAGTTGGAAAAGGCAAGAAATTAAAACAAAGTGTCTTCTAAGGCCAATTCTTGACAAACTCTGCCGGAACAACAAGTACTGTCTCATTTCTGTTGTGAATGGGCTCGCATTGACATAACCCCCTTGATCCACCGCAGGACACCCAAATCGGTGATCTGATAGTATCAGCTCAAAACCACAAACCACACAATGTAAGAAATAAATCTTAACGTAACAACTATGACAACACTCAGACAGTTCACTGGCTTGTAGTAAAGAGAATAGCCATGACGACCTTGGCTAAACTACTTTAGGGTTCTATAATATTGGTCCAGCCAGAATAATTCTTATATTGTGTTGCGGTGTTGGTACAAACTTTGCCGCACACACAATATAACGACATGATAAAGAAGTTTGCTGTCATGTCACATTTATCTTTGCCTTTGTGAAAATGTCAAGTTGACCTTGGTCAATTTGGATTTAACACTGTGACTTAAGTAGACTTGAGGCGCAAATGAAGAGTGGGACAAAATATTCCTGCTCCAATATCAGTATCAGATGTCTCCAGATGTGCAGTTGCGAACTTGATCATGCACTTAGCATTTTATATGTTAATCTCTGTATTCTTCTTTAAGGTAGTGGCAACATGGCACAGAACTGTTCAGCGGTTTGGAGTTGCAAAGGTCTTTTGTAGATGAACCTCAACATCCCATTGGTGACTTCATGTTGACTTTTTTATTCGTAAACAAGCTGCAACTCGATAGCACAAGTGGCACATTCCGGTTTTGTTTCAGTTGATTCAAGACATGATTGATCAATGAGTCACAATCGACAGAAAACAATTATTACATTTTGGTTTGTTTAAAATCACGATTTATACCCAATTCCAACAATCGCAATTCATATTGCTTAAAATTATTCCCTAGGATTTGACTTTTATCATTGCAAAAGCCAAATAGTTTCATTCCAGTGCATTAAGTCATGTCATAATAGAAATGTCAATACAATATCATTTGTGGTAGTGCCGGACATGTATGAGAGCTGCAGGGCAGTGCTGAAGTGTCCTGTGGGTGTGATAAAGGAGTTTAGAGTGGCGGTGGGACTGCATCAGGGATCCACTCTGAGCCCCTTCCTGTTTGCAAAAGTGAAGGATAGTTTGACAAATGAGTTTAGACTGGAATCCCGTGATGTTTGCAGATCACATTGTGATCTGCAGCGAGAGCAGGGAATAGGTAGAGCAGGGATGCCCAAGTCCGGCCCTTGAGAGCCCCTATCCACCATGTTTAAATTTCTCCCTCTTCCAACACGCCTGATTCAAATGACCAGGATCGTTATCAGGCTTCTGCAAAGCTTGTTGATGAGCTGAGGTGGAAGAGTGAGGCTATGAGGAGAAGAAATGGCAAGGGGAGAGGTCTTTACATAAATACTTCGGGTCAACAGCGCATAACAGTGTGGTAAATTGAAGAAACCAAGCAGGTCGGAACAGCTGGAAGAATAGAATTATGTGATAGAAGAGTCTCTGCTTGCATGAAGGGGAATGTTTAGAAGACAGCGGTGAGGCCAGCCAGATTGTGCAATTTGGAGACAGTGGCACTGAAGAGATGACAGGAGGCAGAGGTGGGGGTGTCGGAAATGAAGATGTCGACATTCATTTCGGGAGTGATCAAGTTAGATGGGATTAGAGATGAGTTCCACAGAGGGTCCGCCGATATTAGCTGCTTTCGAGACAAAGGTAGAGAGATGACATCGACATGAGAGATGGTGAGTATATTTGTAAAAGGATGATCAAGCCTCGAACTGCCAGGCAAGAGCGCTCGAGCAAAGCCGAAGCGAAGGTGGATAGATGTAGTGAGAACCGCTTACGGGACAAGCAGAAAGGCAAAGAAGAAAACCGTTTGAGGTAGTACCAATGTGACGATGGGAATTCCCATAGGAGACGCCAGAGAATGTAGGAACTTGAAAAATGTTCAGCTAAAAAAAAAAAAAAAAACAAACAAAAACTATCTATGCATTCTTCTTTCCAACTAGTGGTACAGAATTCCTGTTGTCAACCATAATACAGACAGACTGCTTCAAAAGTCTGTTTGACTATAACATTTGTTGCCGGAGGGCTTCGTTTTGGTCTATTTCCAGGCCAGTGTGCCTCTCATTTATGTTGTGCCACATATAGACATCTCCAAATACGCATCCTGACTGCTCGCCAAACTCCCACGCACTCACCAGCGAGCTGCATAGGCACACCGACGAGTGTCCCCACATGAGCGCCCGCCACAGGGAATCAGCTGGGATTTGATAACGACATATGTTCTTGTGCTAGGGAGAAGAGTGCCGACATCTCCCGAGGGAAGCGATCTCTCCGCCAGCGTTTCCCAAAACTCTTGTCGAGACAGACAAGTCCATGCATTCGATGCTTTGTTGATGTCAGTGGATTTATGTACGGATCACAGCAAAGTGAAAATAGCTGGATGAGCAGTGTTTCAGGCGATATTTGAAATGTACTGTAGACAATTGAAGAGCACTTCAATCATTACTTTCTAGACTTCAAATAGTCAGTGGCCTGTGAGTCACACTAAAACACTTTTGTACTGCTTGCAAGTGTTTTGGCCATGGCATTTTTGGGCAGAGAAAATGTGGACTTGTTCTTGTTTGTGCGCCTGTGAATCAGCAGCCTGTTTACAACTGTGCTCCATTTACGTTATCGTTTAATTGTATTTTCTGCCACAATTCTTTTTTGCGTCAGACTGAACTATTTACACACCTGCCGTGATATTATTCATTTAGTGAAAAATATCGGCGCAATTGGACTTCTATCATTTGGGATTCTACACCTGTGAGGGGCTTCGCCCCAACGTAGGACCAATTGATTGCGTCCTGAGGAGATAAACCGAGGGACGAGAGCCGGACATAAAATCAAGCGAGAGAGGACTAAATGAGACAAGAAATTTGATTGTTGTCATTATGTGTGTTACCGACTAATTAATGGCAATAAGAATAGCACAGTTGTTTGTTTACATACAAACTTCAGCTTGTAGCGAATGCAAAGCTAACGAAGGCCATTTACAAAGCTAGGCTACCTGCTTAACAGGGAAGATTCTTTTCGTTTTTCAAGATGGTTATCATCCCGCAAGTATGACTCCTCTCCCGAAACTGTCTCAGTTGAGAAGACACTTTCCGAATTGGCTTCCGCACCGAAAAGATTGAAATAACTCAGAAAAGTAGTGACCTAAATAAAAAGTGACACATAGCGTGACACTAGACAGTGTGTGCACTAGCAGGTTGGGAATTTTGGCCTACAACGTGTTTGGGGCGTGATTCGCGTCTGTCATATCAGCTCGGTCGTCACTGGAGATGTCCTGGAACAGTCATGGAAAATCAACTCTGGATCAGGTCACTTTGGCCAAAACACATGCTTGGATGTTAAAAACTAAAAAATACGGTCTTCGGTGTTTCAGTGTGTAGGAATTGTCGTTGATCTACTTCATTTTGACAGCAAACAAATGGAGAAAGAAGACGCAAACCATTGAAGAAGAGGAAGACAACACAAAGGCGAAGACGTAAAGTGAACCGTGATGATGAAGATGTCAGACGCATATTAATATTGCGTTATTTTTTACTGATATCTGTACTTTTCATCTAATTTTTTTTTCGCACAGTATTTTTGCCTGTTTTGATTTTTAACATGAATGTGTCTCTGTACGTCTCTTATTTTTCAGCTGTTTGTATACGGTTTATGTGTTTTGTATATCGTGTTCTAGCTAATAAATATATATATATATATATATTTTTTTTTTTTTTGTCAAATATTCGTAAAGATAATATTTTGCTTTGGCTATCATAAGTATACAAGTTCTTGTTTTTTGTGTGTGATATACGAATAACCCCAATGATCGTGGTCAATTCAATTCCTTGATGCGGTCAGAATGAAGTCTCGTGAATAAAGTTGAGAGCTTGCCTGACATCATCTGTGAACGTGATTCCAAACAGCGGCCCGCAAATGGCAGTCCAATTCCCATTCGTACGAAATCTAGAGGTTCAAACTGTTAAACGTCTGCTTTCCCTGATGTCTCCAGGGGCCCAGCTCACTGGAGGACCTGACCAGCACGCAGCAGCCCAGAGGCCGCCACAGTTTTGTCCAGGAACACTTCCAGGCCCAGTACAGGTGAACATCTGGAGATTTTGCTTGATATGCTTTGCGGTTCTTAAACTGACCTTAAAATGGAGCTGATTAGCAACAAAAAGTTGGCCAGTATGAAGTCATAACTAAGGGACTGGAAGAGAAATGTAGTCGTATGAAAATGATTAGAACGTAATTCATGATTAAGCATTCTGAAAATGAGTATGAATTGCTGGATGTGTCCAAGTATAGTAGGCTATTGTGAGTGCCGATTCTGTGAAATAAGGCCGCGAATCGAGCCACTCCATGCCTGCTATACTCGCTCATCCTGTCACAAAAGCGACACACAGGCAAGTTTTTCAACAAATAAGGGGCGCATCTTTCAAAAACAGTCAGCAAACAGAATAATTTGTTTCTATACAGGGTTCGCTGCATTTCCAAGGTTTCATCCACTTCAACAAATGGTGTTAACACTCACTTATGTGATTAAATATTTTAAATAGCAATGGTTAATTACTTTCAAGGACAACATGATCAATTATGATGTTCATCATTTTGAGTACAAACATCTCCAAAAAACCTTTGTGTGTACAAAGGTTCTTGTCTTCCTTTTCTGTGGCTACTTGGTGTTAAGCGATGATTCTGCTGCCCTCTATTGGAGGCAAAGCCACATTGCCCTGAGTGGCACGCCAAAAGAATGAAAAAAAAAAGTCACATCTGAGCCAGGGAACGAAATCCTCCTGATTATGTCCAATACCTTGTAAGCGTGAAATCATCAGATAAAGGAGCAACACACACACACACACACACACACACACACACACACACACACACACAGTGGTTTGTAATTACTTGTTTGATTGACAGCTCGTGTTAAGTCCACAGCGGTGGTGAGCTGGTGCTCAAACAGTTGGACGTTGTCTCACTGATTAGCTGCCTATGCGTCAAAGCTCACAAGCTTATCGTGTAACTCCAAGACGAACAAAATTGAGGAACACTGAGGAAAAATGTTTTTTTTTCCCACCCCTACTTGACATGTGTTCACTTTCAATTTACTTTTCACTCAAACTATAGCAGTGTCGTGGGCGTCTTTGGGCTTAATCCACAAAAATGTTGAATCGTCTCATTGCAGCAAAATAAAACGAAAGGATCGACACTTGTCTATGGTGACAAAAAGCCATGAATTAAAACAAGATCAGTGGACAAGACAACCTCACGAATCTTCATGTTGCCGAGCAGCTGAAAACTTAACATCCATCCATTCATCAAATTTTCTCTACTGCTTATCCTCACCAGGGTCCCTTGATTTTAATTTTGTCTCAAATCATTTGTCGTCAATATAGCTCGCTTCTGTGATCGTCAGTCACAGTTGGCCGCTTGTGACAACAAAGCAATTTCATATACTGGGTTTTGTTTGTGTCGTATCCGTCGACCCGCGAGTATCTCAAGTCTCTTCCTTCTTGTGCAATTGGTCTCTCTTCTTTTCATCTTCCTTCCCCGTTCCTTTCAAATCTTCCATAGACGCTCCTTAGAGGGAGACAGCGGAGTTCTCTGATCTGAATAAATGTTTGCGATTAGAGCCCGCGCTGTCTTGTGCATTGGGCTGCCGACGTGGGAGTCGGCGCTCGCCCGTGTCGCCAAGGCTTGTGTTTGAATGCATCTTTGTCGAGGCCTCGCTCCTCCTCACTGTCTGTCACTCTGACTTTGTGGTGTCTATTTTTAATGGCCTGTTGTCTCCAAGACATCGTCTAGGTCGAAACAAGTTTATATAACGTGACGGATGGGCTTATATAATGCATGTTGGATGAGAGGAGCTCATACATAGAGTATGACAAAATCTTCTCCAACATTGAATTATGCTGATCTATTTTTTTTTTCTTTGTGATTTTTAGTCACAGTATATAATTGTGACAGTTTCTCAGTGCACTTTTGGATTTACTGTCCATCTGGGCTCATGGAAGGCCACTTCAGAATCGTCTGTTTTGCTCTTAGCCATTCTGCGGCGTTTTTCGTGCTGTTTGTTTTTGGGTCAGTTTCCTATTTCAAGACTCATGACCATGAGATAAAGCTTTCTGACACATGGCGACGCATTTCTCTCCAGAGTGTCTGAATTGTCTTAAATTCATTGCATACTGCACAGATTCAAGAAACCCAGTGCCAGATGGAGCAGAGCAGCCCCGGAACATAAATGTACTTTTTAATTGCTTTTATACAAATAGTTCTCTGGAGTGCCTATCCATCTAGCAAGTGTGAAATTAAACAACCAGCTAAATTTTTTGATTTAAATCTGTATGAATGAGCCGTTAATAACCACACGGCGAGTTTCTCTGCTTTTGACATTTTTAGCTGTGTGAAGATGTGCCAGAATCTGAAGGTATTTGTATTGGGGGGTGGGGGGCACATGGATCCGCTACAGTCATTAACAAAATATAATGTGACTGCTTCATTCATTGGCTGATTGCCTTATGGTGACTCCTCTAGAGACTCCAAGTCAGCTTTTTCATCTTGGCACCTTGATTTTGGAGATTACATTTTAGTTATAATCAATAATTTCCATTTGTAATGAACTCGCAGTGATTTATTCAGTAAGTTTACCATCACTGATTGCTGTGGATCTTTCTAATGAAACTTAGATGATGTTGATGATGCCGTGTGGGTGTGTGTGCGTGCGTGCTTGCTTTACACGGACGGGTGTAAAGAGCTTGACTGATGCTGTCAGTTTTTGTGCTTTTCTCTTTGCTCTCTCTTTTGTCAACTCGGCTGTCCCATGCCCAACCTTGTGTTCATATTTAATGCATCGAGCCCCCACTACCCCCATGCTGAGGCCTCCTTTGTTGTCGCTCCCGCTGTCTCTTGGCTCACTCGCTTTTGTTTTCCTATCGATCTCAGATGCTTCTGCCGCCCTCATCATCCAGAGATGATCGTCTGGCCTTGTTTTTGTTTCGTGCTCAAGATCAGAACAGCAGCACCCCCCCCTTTTTTTTTGTCCCTTAACTGCATATCCAGATGGCCTAATTCAAGGCTTCTCATCCACGCTTGTGGTGTGCATGCAAATTACGAACTTGTATCTTTTGCGCTGACGCCTTACTTAAGAGGATTTTGTGTCTGTGCTGATACTTTATATCGCTTGGTCCATCGGGCCAACACTGTGTAAGAAGGCAATTTCGACTCTCTAATGGACACTTCTATGCAAGATTTAAAACCTACGAGCCTTGCGACAGTGGACTCGTATGCACTGGAAAAAAAAGTGCAATACAGTCCAGTAATGGCAAAATGATGTCACGGAAAATACAAATTCTGCAATATAGGATTTCCTCAAAAAGCGGTCATCCCTATAATAGATGGCCTGTTCCAATTACTTTACCTACGATAAATCAATGCCTCTGTTGTGGCAGTATTTTTAGTGTATTATCACTGTAATAAACACTGAGCATTGTCTTTCTAGTTTTTTCCTTGCAAGAAAGAGAAGCAGTGGTACTGGGCAGATGTAGTCTGAAGGTGTTTTGAACACAGCAGCTGCTGTCCCACTTATACTAAATGCTGATCTGCCTTGCAATTTCAAACATACAATTGTTGACTGTTTCTTGGAGCAGAGCATGTGGGGAAAAAAAGCCTTGGCTAATGAGCCACATGCCGCGTCGCCACGTCTGAAGACAAAAGCCAAAAACACGTAGCATCCTATTTTGGATCATTTTCAGTTCGATTCCTTTTTCCCCATCAGGAGACAAACCGTAGCAACTAATTACCTCAGATCACGAACACTATTGTTGGAGAATTAACGGCTGAGTCCAACCAAAACAGCATTCCAGAAAGCCGGAGATAAAGTATGGATACTTACGCCATGTTTTAAATGAGGTGTCTCTATAAGTTGTCCGATTGATGATTGAAAAAATTAAAATGAAAACACGACATCAATAGACACCCAAATTGAGAAAATTAATGCCACAACCACCATTAGACAAAATAGGATTTATTATTATTATTATTATTTTTTTTTTTTTTTTTAATATACCCTCGTAGGTGGTCAACTGGTTAGCGCATCGGCCTCACAGTGCAGAGGTGCAGGGTTCGATTCCAGCCCCGGCGCATATTTGTGAATGATAAAAGTAAATTGCACATTTGTCGAAGGAAATGTAAGGTACTTCCTGAAATGTTTTGTAAAAGATATGTTCATTAAATTTCAACATTTTCCTCATGTTCTTGTGCTTCTTTATACCAAAACAAAGGAAAGACATATTGTTTTTGTTATTTATAGCAAAGTATGGTATCATTTTAATGGTCCGGCCCACTTGACATCTACCGAGGCCGTATTTGGCCCACCATGTGAAATGAGTTTGACACCCCTGCTCTAAATTGTCCTTAGGTGTGATTGTGAGCACGAATGTTCAGGGTGTCCCCCGCCTACTGCCCGAGGACAGCTGGGATAGGCTCCAGCACACCCGGTGACCCTTGTGCAGATCACTAGATCAGGAAAATAGAAAATATACCCTCGTTTATCGTGGTTGTTACGTTTCCAAAATGGGGCCCTCTTTTAAGTCATTACACCCGAACCCCGCCTATATGGTTCCCATCCTTCTAACACTTGTTACACTTAATAAATCTAACATTTCAAATGAAAAATGAAATCTAAATACTGGCAGGTGATGAGCTGTCTCATGTTTATGGTCATTGTTTTTTGTAAAACAAAGTTCCACTGGAATAATTGATATTTTTTTTGACCGACTCGACGTAAAAGGAAGACAAAAAGCAAGCAAACCTGCAAAACAGCAAGGTAAAAGTCCAATGGATGAAGTTATGGCCATAAATGAAAGCTCGCGATCGAGTGAAGCCGCAATAACCCAGCGAGGGAACACTCTATACCATGAGGATAAAACGTGTTTACCTTTTCTCGTCCTTCCTTTCTCCCCAGGTCATCTCTGACTTGCCCTCATTGCCTTAAGCAGAGCAACACCTTCGACCCCTTTTTATGCATCTCCCTGCCCATCCCTCTGCGACAAACCAGGTAAAGTATGGAAAAACACAATTCCAACTCCAGTAGCCGCTGTCAGTCCAAACCGCAGCCAACACATAAACAAAAATGATGTTCATATGATACATTAAAAGCATGTCTATTCTTTAATCAGCAAAATAATTAATGATGGCGGCCAGTGAGGAAATAGTCATAGCAGGCCAACTAAACCACCCACTTACATTTAAATTTTAAATATGTGTTTACGTATTCTTGCATAATTTGGTGTTATCACTTGAAATGTGCCTACAAATAAACACATTTCATTTGGATTTGGGAGCTTGGACCTGCAGTGTAAATCCACTCTAAGACCATCGTTCTTCCTCATCTGCCGGATACAATATCATTTTGTCCAATTCCTGCTTTAATAGGTCTGTGTAGATCAGGGGTGTCAAACTCATTTTTGTCGCGGGCCACATTCTAGTTACTGTTTCCCTTGGTGGGCCGTAATGAATTTTGGGAATCCATATCAACGTTTAATCACCTCCACATATTACATACACAGCGCACAACAAATTGATGGATAACTAGTTTTAAAATCAGAAGTCAAGAATAAGGACTGTTATTATGGATTACATCTGACAATTTGAAATTTTGGTTCAGACATTAGCAAGCATCATGGAACTTGACATGCTTTCGCGGGCCACATAAAATGATATATCGGGCCAGATCTGGCCCCCGGGCCTTGACTTTGACACGTGTGGTGTAGATGATTCAAGAGATTCATTTTCAATGGCTGACCGGCAGCGTCAACAGAAAACGCGTACAGCTAACCAATCCGCTGTTACATTTTGTTTTATTTTTACAATCACGCCGAAATAAATCTGTTCTTGTTTCACACCTCATGCTGACCGACCACAGTGGGACTGGCAGAATTGCGTTCTCTCTGACATGTGGTCCCTTTTATTACATAAACACAGCTAGCTCACACACTCGCTGGTGGGAGTCCATGCTCCTGCTGCAGCGGTATTTAAGTCGAAGGCATGCTGAGTCTGAGGTCCCGAAAGCATGAGCAGGCTAGCAGCAGGACGCCGATGCCTGTGTGCTGCAGATAATACCAGTAATACAATTTAAAAAAAAAATCCCAAACACAACTATACAGCTTAGTGGAAATAGGGGCTGTGGATATCGTGGCAAAGAAAATCCTCTCTAAATATCGACAAATAACACACTTTAAAAAAAAAACATGAATTCATCTATACTGAGGAGCTTTTAGACAGGCAGAAACTTTGCTGTAAAAGTGGCTGCATGTACTATGAATGTAAACATTTCATGCGTGTTCAGGAATACATCATGATGTGATGAATTCAAAATTAGTCCTCAAGCACAAAGCTACAACGTGACATAAGTTATTCAAAGATGGCGTCTCCCAATTCCTGTTGCTCTCAACAGTCATCCTGCACTCGCATCCCCTTGTGTTTCTCATTCGGCAGCATCCGACATTATTAACACCACAGCGCCTAATGTCCTCCCTCCTAACATATTCCCGTGTTGAATTGTGAAGAGATGTGAGACAAATCCAATTAGATATGAAGTCACACTCAGACAAATTATATTATCCATGCCGGTGAAATTGGATTTTCTACAGCAGCACCACAAATCAACAATTTCCCCTCTCCCAAAAATGTACAACATATCAAAACATATTAAAATATACAACAGGGCACATCTTCCTAATTCTTCGGAATCTTTTCTTTTGTTGTATTCACAATGATTGAATCAAGTTAAATGTCTCTGTTGTGCAAAAACAAAATGCCAACATGATTGATGTCACCTGCGGTATCCCCCAGGGCCTCAAAATCAAATTCATGCGCAACAATGCTGATATATCGCATTTCCTCCAAAAAACGGCCATCGCTCCAATGGAAGATGAAGTTGAGACCCAAATTTAAGGAAGCGCCGGCTTCATTCAAATCTCCAGAGTGGAGTCATTTCAGTTTCACCGCTGACTACACCTGCGAGGGAGTGGAAACTGTCGACAGGCTTTTTACTGTGCTTGCAACATGTCTCATACTTTCAAGGAAACGCAATGAAAATGACCAATTCTCCTCGCTGTTTGCAGGCCAATGTGTGTGACGTTGGTATTCAGTACCAAGACTCAGCGGTATCTCCGAGTGGGTCTTGCTGTGCCTCTCTTCGGTTCATTGTCCAGCTTGAGAGCCATGGTAGCAGAGGAAGGGGGCATCTCTGCAGACCAGGTACACATTTATTTATTTATTTTTGTATGCAGAACATTTTGGTTGAACTCCCAATTGTGTCACTGACTTTTCCTTTGAGGCTCCACTGTAATTCAGCTTTACAGCTTTGTGGTCATGTTGATAGCAGACAATCTTGTCGCAACCAAGTTGAACTAACTCAACCTCTGCCAAGGCGCACCGACTCTAGCAGTCGATGATTACGGTGGACCAGCCAGGATGAAAAGTGTGGCCCTTCACTGGTCTCACGATCCGACTTGATTACCATCATCAACAATTTGATTCCATTAGTTGTTGTGTCACATCATTTTTCGATATAAAAATAATGAAAGTACATTTTTTAGAATAAATCAACAGAAATAAGGAAAATCCGACTTAACAGTGCGAACATGACCAAGTTGAATCAACAAAACATCCTGCGGTGCTACATTAAAGTAAGATAGAATTGTAAGATGTCCGACTCTGGTTTGAAATGCTCAAATTAAGAGTTGAAGAATTAACACATGCTTTTGTTAAGTGTTATTCCTTGTGGTTTTCCGGTTGCAGGTCATCCTGGCTGAGTTGTACTCGACAGGATTCCAGAGGTCCTTCTCAGATGACGACGACCTGACAGCCATCGCTGATAGTGATGTCATCTACGCCTTTCAAGCGCCGCCTTTGCATGGTTGTGGAGGCTCTGCGCCGCACTCAGGTACAAATTGTAACAGGATATGCATGTCGTCATCACTCCGGCCCAGACTTCCCTTCATCATCCAAATGGTTCTTCTGTTGTGTGTGTCTCTCTCTCTCTCTCTCTCTCTCTCTCTCTCTCTCTCTCTCTCTTTCTCATTTTGATTGACTGGCCTTCCCACAAACACATTCGGATTCATGAAAAGCCCGCCTCGTCTTCCGTGTCTGAATGCTGAATAAGACGTTAGCGGGGAGACTGAGGAGCGTGACGACCCTGTAGTTGAAATTCCCTTCTTAAAAAAAAAAAAAGAAAAAGCGGACCGACACTCGAGTCTGCCAATCTAGAGAGCGGCACCAATATCCACCAGTGTTGTGGAGGCGTGTCAACCAGGACAGCGCCGCAACATCAAGAGCCTTTAATAGCAAATCTCATCCACCCTCGGGGACATGCAACCAAGGAGCTTTTTTTAATTAACCACTCCGGTGACTTCAACCTCAGAGAAACGATAGCCCGCTTCGAAGTCCCCAGACTCTGCTTCGACCTAGGAAGGTGTGTCAGTGGAACTCAGGAGGTCTTCGGAGTATTCTCCCCACCTTCTGTGGCCAAGTAGATGTGAAAATACAGTCATCGAAAACTCATCTAATGATAGCAAGAAAAGTGGCATCACTCAGAAGGGAATATGGTGAAATAAATTTTCTTGGAAGCACTTAAAGGCTTACAACATTGGCCGGGGGGATTCATTTTATGCCGTGTTCAAAAAGAAAAACAAATCAAAGTAAACCTCAATAAATTGCCGGATTGAGAGAATATGTATATATATATACATATATATGTATATATATATATATATATATATATATATATATATATATAATATATTTGTAACCTATTAACCTCAACATTCTTACAATAAACACTCAGATGAAAAATGCCTACGGCTGATGACAAAATCACCTTCTTTATACAATTGTGCGTTGATGTCCTCATTTTAGGTGGCTAAAAGTGATACCCCTCGCCGGTATTTTTGTATGGAGGATTGGGAAATGACAAAAAAAGGGACAGCGAGACTGCCGCATATGGCTTCTTTCTTTGACCTAAACTCTTTCTTCACAGTCAGCACAGAGCTCAGGTGGTCTGTGGCCACTGATGCTTGTTTATAGTCATGACCTCTGATTCATGCGGGTTTAAGCTCACAGCCCTCTGGGTATTTTTAGTCAGCATGCACATTGTTAGTGACCGGGGTCACTCGCTTGTTATTGAAGGACATCATACCAGAAGTCTTGCTTGGGATTTTCTCTTCCATTTATTTGTGGTTGTCACACTTTAACACACATTTTCTGCTTAAAAGTTCGAAACATGGATGGATGAGTTGTTGGGCTGGTGGATGGATGGATGGATGTTTCGATGAAAGGTGGGGAGTCGGTCACGTGTTGCAAATCATTCTCAGATTGTGACCGTCAAGTTTTAAGCAAATCCCAAGTTATTGTGAAAAACAATCAATCTCGTCGAGTGCGCCCAAAAATTTCAAGCAAGTCAAGTCATTACTTGGTTGAACAGGCTTAGCCAGTCGCCGTTTTTACTGGAGTGATAAAATATTGTTCCCACCCTTTCAAAAGTTTGAAATACCAAAGTCAGTCAAGTCGAGTCTTCCATCACTTTAAGACATGCGAGTCCCAAGTCTTAAAATTGCAGACTCGATTCTGAGAAGTCATGTCACTCAAGTTGCCCCACCTAGCTGCTTGCTCCTCATCAAGACTGTAAATAAATGGTCGGAAAATAGGTGTGTCCTTCCTTCTTCGGAGAGAAGGCGCAACACGCTGGCTCTTGTGCTCCAGTGAGAGTGACCTCATCCTCACCTCCTTCAAGCAGAAAGAGGAGGTGAGAATTGGCAGGAGTCTGGCACGAGTGACTTGGTTCTTCCCCATCATGCACAATATATTCCTTTTGAACATCCCATTTCAGGACTGGACATAGGTGTTAGAAATGTATTTTGCAATATAAATAACACATCATGGTTCTTTGCAAGTTCTTCCGCACCAAACTCATCCAGGGATGTCTGTATGTGCATAAAGGTCATTTATTCATTATCCATTTGTCCGACTTTAGTTTGAAAAAAATGGTGTGTATTTTTGCTGCAGTTTTGCTCAACAATTTTTCAGACTGAAACTTAATGAAGGACTTAATTTTAAGTGGGTGCATTCAATATGGTTGAAAGTAATGACTTGGTTTCCTGCGTGTCAAAATGTGTGTGTGTTAAGATTTGCTGTGAACCTGATCGTTGTAGAAGGCTTAAACAAGCACTGTATAATGAAATCATCCACTAAAGTCCAAAGTTGTGTTTCTCAGAAAATAAGACGTTTGGCCTTTTGCATCTCCTCAAGCGATTAACCAATTTTCATCGCTGTGCGTATGAGGTGCATGTAAGTGTCTGTCGTAACAAATGTTCCTGTTCCAGAGAGTGGAAATACAAGTAGCAATTTTGCAGTGGCTATTGGTGCGTAACTGAGAAACTTTACACAATTTACACCTGACAGTCTGGATTCTTCATTCGGTACACTTGCGCAGTCCAGTCCAGTCCTCACAAAGATACTGCCAGACCCGTATTTATGTATTGTAGAGCACGGGCTATCACCCCAATCATTTATGTATTTATTATGGAAGTGAACCTAATGACTCATCCTATTACCATATTTTCCGCACTAAAAGGCGCACCTAAGCCTTCCATTTTCTTAAAAGCTCACAGTGCGCCTTAAAATCCGATGCGCCTGGTGTATGGTTATTACGGTAATATGTCGACCCCAAAATCGCTCCTTGCTAGAGATATGCTTACACCGCAAAGTTCAAACTTAAGGCGATCGGGTTACGCAGTTGAACACGGAAATAGAGCAGCGGCAAGAGAGTTCAACGTTAACGAGTCAATGTTATAACTTGCTGTTGGTTAAGTGAACTGTATCGCTGCTTTATTTAATACGTTTTACTGACATTTGATCGTTCTGTAGCAATGCCACTCAACAGCTAAGCTACCTGAGCTGTTGTTGTTTGTTCAAAGCTTCCTTGTTCTGTGACTTGGGTTGCGTCAGCGCTGATTGGTTGAACCACGTGCGTACCGTACTCGCGCGCACGCGAGTACATCTTTGAGCAGCAGACGATGGGACTGCTGAGGCGCGCTTCACTCGAGTGGCGTTGCTACAGTTCTGTTGGCATTTCCTTGATCGTAGCTCCATCTAGTGGATGCATTGCAGATTGCGTCCTCTAGTGCGGTGTGTCCAATATATGAAAAAAATTACAAAATAGGCCATTCATTGAAGGTGCGCCTCATAATCCAGTGCGCCTTTTAGTGCGGAAAACACGGTATACGGTTGTATCCTGAAATTTGTCCTCCTCTGCTCTTCCATCCTCAAGGGTATCACCACAGCCTCCCCAATTCCCCGTACAGCTCTTCGGCTGCGAAGTTGCCATCATCTGGCACGTTATCCACCGAATACCTGAACCAGGGCGGCTCCTCCAAGGTTCTGCTCCTCATCTGCAACACGTCCGGATGTGCTCAGCAGGCAGTCAGGTGAGCTTTGGAAAGCAACTTTCTCAGTTTGCCATGACAATAAAGCGGTAGTATATTGGGCTTCTGAAGGGAATGGCAGAGATGTCACTCTTGAAATGCCTAGCAATAATTTTGAAGTTAATGACAAGCCCTTTGCTCATCGCAGAACTCATCGAAATGAAATGGTCCTCTGGAAAACACTCAGTCATTTAAATAGGGCTCTATGTCTTTGAATTCAAATGGCAAAAAAAAAAAAAAAAAGAGCCAAAGTACTGTATACCTTTATTTCAGTTCTAAGCCAAGACATATATGAGGATGGATTGTGTACACTTTACTGTGCAATTGCCCCTTCAGGCCCATTATTCTATTTTCCTTTTCGATTTTGGATGATGGATTTAACTAGGTGTCACCTTCACTCACTCTGCTCACCGTAATTGTTTGCGATTATGTGCTCATTCGGTGCTCGGCATTCCATTTTTCCTTGATAATGTTTACTCTATGCAGCATCGACTCTCCCGGTTGCTGACTTTACTTGTCGGGTCATGACATCAATCGCCAGGTGTTGTGTGGGTTCGAGGTCCACTGTTTTTTGCTTTGACGTGAGTTCTATATTCCTCAAGGTGATTTTTATGTGCTCTTTATTTTTATTTCCTGCTCTTGTAAGGTTTGGTCCGCCATTTCTTATGCTGGAAGACAGGAGCATCTCTTGGGAGCAGCTACAGCAGAGGATACTCACCAAGCTCTATTATCTGATGCTGAACAGATCTCAGGCTCAGGTAAATGCCATCAGCTCCAGTAGATCATGATCCACGAGGCTCACTGAAGCCCGAAAACAAGTGTAACGGAGTTTCAATTACAGTGGACTATCCCCGAACTTGAATTCAAATGCCCGTCTTTGATTTGTTCACATTAAGAAAAATAGAATCACGAGAGAGAAATGTGACTGAGCTGGCTGGCTGACAAAGAATATTTAAGTCAACACAAATATCCACGTGTGAAGGGATACACCTCCCAAACAGCAATTTCTGTGCATTTTTCATTGTAGCCATCGCACCTCATCGAAGTTAAATGTGATCACGGTGAAGAACTACTTTTTACAACGGTGCGACAGAATATTACTCTGAATATTAAAATGTGATTTAAAGCAATGCTTGTACTGTTACGAGGTTTTGGGATGGCGACAGTTTGACCCTGTAAGGACTCATTATTTTTCCACTATTTCTTATAGGAACTGTTTTTAATCAAATTTAATCTGCAGTCAATTTTTGTCTCTTCAAAAGTACTTTACAAAAATGACTGGCGTAGCATTGTAGCATATTTGTCCAATGAATGCATTAGAAAGTTACTTTTAACTTCATTTTAACACTGCGTTAAAATTAAAACACTTTGTTCAATGGTCCACAGTAGTTATACATTCTATTTTCACATTTAGAATCTCTGTTGAAGTTTTTTTTTTTTTAATTCATTTTCTTAATTTTATAAATGAGTCAACATACGAATCTCCTGAACCATAATTTACCACACACTGTGTGAATTATTGCACTGTTGACTTGTGAGTCCCTCTAATTCTTGGCCTGTGGTCAGGGTGACTTATGGCTTATGTCATTAAGCTCCTTTTTTATTCATTATGCCTTCTCTTCTTGTAAAATCAAAAAAAAAAAAAAAATGAACCTTGCGTTTTAACTACGCCCCCCCTCCCCCAAGCACATAATCACACCAAAGTCAAATGAATGTGTGGTTTTATACATCACCATATACACTACTAAGTACTAACCATTGTTGTGGCTTTGGCTCGTTGCAATAGGGGTTGCCACAATGAGTCACTTAAATGATTTTTTTGGCACAGGACAATGTCATTTGTTTCTTATTGTAGTGCATTGTTGACTATATATTAGCATGATTAAATCTAATTTTAGGATTTAAGCCATAAAGAATAAGACTCCCTTCCTCCTAGTCTTGCCAGAGGTGTTTGTTTCCTCAACTGCACAGAGTACCAAGTACTGGTATATCGCGATAATTTAGCAATACCATCAAATAAGTGGTACAAACGAAGCGACAATAAGACACAGTCGTTGCATTAGATTTACACTTAAGCATCAAAGGACGCTTAGCAATAGTCCAATAAGCACTGACCTGCATCTGATCTGCCATCTTTTGTGATCTTTTATCTGTCCAAAAAATACACTTATACCTTCCTCAATCCTCTTTCTGAAAGCAACTCCATTTGGTTCTCAGGTTGCTTGGAGTGATACAGATGGGGACAAACTTCCCGTGGTGGGAAGGGGACGGGGCGGAAAAAAAAGGGTGGGGGGTGGAATGCTGTCGTCACATTGCTAACAAGCATTTTACTTGGTTTTTCCCTCCGGTACAGTCCGGAATTGTTGAAATGACTCTGGCATGGCTTCTTCTTGTTTATAAGGTGTTGTGGCACCACCCAGAGGTTTCTTGTGGTGTTACAACTTCGGGTTTTGGTTTGCGTTTGAGAATTCTCCCTTTGCCTTTGATACGTAACAGACTACAGTACTTGGAATGATGGGCGCGTTCCATCTTTTTTTCGAAATACTACTATGACAAAAAAAAAAAAAATCACATTCCTCCTTCACGTATTTTTTTTCTATTCTATTCTATGTTTCAAACATATACTAAATCCCTTTTAATAAATACCCATGTGTGTTCTTTAAAACAGTGATCCCCAACCGCCATCCAACGGCCCAGAACTGGGCAGCACGCTATTTGGTAGCAAGACCCGCAAAGCCACTGGCGAGATGGAAAGGAAAAAAAAGGATTTACTAAAATTATCATCAGAACTTGAGAGATGTTTTATTTTGAAAATCAAACGCATCTGCCTGTGACTTGAATTGCTCATCTTGGTCATGCTATATGAGGAAAAAGTAAGTCCATAAACTAGCAAAAATGGGTTGAAAAAAAATCGTGCTTTTGGAGTGCTACTTCCAGAACAGGAACAAGCCAAATAGTGAGACAGAAAAGGAGTCGGCAACCACTAATAAAAACAAAGCAATATTTAAGAGACAATTAGGGCAGTCCTGGACTCCTGCTCAGGGTGTGTTGCTAAACCCACTCGCTCTGCGTATTATGTCGCAACAGGTTCTCTTTTGCCATATTTTTTTTTAATTGCTATTATTTTGAAATATATTAATTATTGTTTTGGATTGATATGAATAATTGTGCAGATTTTCCCCATAATCGCCGAGCCTATTGGGCCAGTATGCAATTGATTAAAAATGATGTCCAGACAAACTCAGATAAAGTAAGTAATGTGTTCTATCTTTCTGGTCCTCATCAGTCAATGGACTATGGAATTGCTTATTGTATTTATTTATTTATTTTGTGAGTCCAAAAAGGAGAGTGTGACAGTAATCAATATGCCCGAAGATAAGTGTGCACTGAAGCACGTCTGTTTTTTCTTGAGAGAGAGAAAGAATGGTGCTGCCTATTGAAAAGAATATTGGGATTCACTGTAACAAAAGCTGTACTTAATTAGATGCAGTCAAACGAGGACAGAGACTTTTCACAAGACCACATTGATTGTAATATTTTCAAAAACTTTGAGAAGTGCTGTCTTGGTCCTGTTGTTTGTCTGAAAGCCAAGATTTAAATGTTTTGTGCTAATCATTGGGGATCCAATTCAGACAATCATGTAACTGGTTGAAAGCAGTCTTCTTTCAATTTGTACTTTAAAAAATGGCAAGTTCGGGGCTTGTCTGTGATTTGTCAGCTCTGTGATGTTTCAATGATTTCTTTTCAGAGGGAGCCTGACAATGGCCATCCTAACTCTCCATGTAAAGACCCCTGCCTCACAAGAACATTTTCAATGGCTAGGATATCCTTTTCTTGGATTATTTTGTTTATCTGTACTCTAGTTGCAACCAAACTTGAAATTCAATCGAAAACGCAAACCTAATGCTCGTTTTTTTTATGTTTTTTGAAGGACCGTAAATTACTGTCATGTATGTAATGCAACTCAAAATGTATTAATGTCAACAGGGAGCGTACACCTCAATCTAAACTAGACATGTATAAAATCGTGATCCACTTTTTGTGCATATGTGAGTCCTACCTCCTGTTAACATCTGCTCACATGCAACAACGAATTCAAGTAACAACGTATAAGCACACTGATCCACTCAAAATAATGTTGACTCGAGGCCAAACCAGCGCAAATGAGGCACCCTCAGATATGAACTGTCTGAAGATATTTCAGCCGCACTAATGACTATGTCTCCAATTGCAGAACACCAGGGCGCTGTTTAAGATCAGAGTGGTGGGAGGCTCGGCATCTTATAGCTATCTTTCACCTCAAGACAGCAGACCGCTGCACCACCCTGCTGTTGAGAGGTAGGAATCGCACCACTTGTAGATGGAGCCATCCATACGATGTGACGACGACAAAATGCTTTTTTCCCCAAAATGGATCACTGAGAGTTGTCAATGAACCTAACATGCATGTTTTTATTTAAAAAAAAAAGTTGTGGTTTTCACATGTCTGCAATTTCATTTGAAAAGCTCTTTTGTTTTTTAACAAGATTAAAAAATAGCAGCAGCTCCAAGAAAAAATTTCAATTAAAATGTTAAATTGTCTGAAAAAATTTTCAATAACTGAGCTATTATGTCAAATTTGGTCAAAATTTTATTTGATTGAGAAAGACACAAAAATAATTTTCTTAATCTCCCGTGGATAATATTGTTTCATTGAAATACGAACAAGGTCAGCTTTTTAGTTCTTCCAAGTCGTAACTTGGGTATTTTTGTGACCTTAATTTCATGGGTGTGCATCTTTGATTGCCTGCATGCTCAAAAAATGATTACTCTTCCTACTCTCTTTTGTGAAGTCGGCACAAAGAGAGGCATCTGTTTGAATATATTTTATTTGGGCTTTTTGTGTTTTCGTCTTTCAAAAGCATCAACAACTTACCAACTGTACAAACTCCCACGGCGCTCTGAAGAGTGTTGCAAGCCTTAAGATGAACATTTTTCCTCCCGAGCGAAATGACAAAGTACAGGAACGATTCGATACGATGCAATGATTTCCTTGTTGTCATTTTACAAACTTTACATCACAATGAACTTGTTTGAGTACTGTAAACATTGCGTATTTCCGTCTCCTATCACGGACGATTCGATACGCATCTCGATAAGTGGTGCGATCCGGTTCGTTCGATGGACTCGCATTTTTTTTTCATCAAAATCGTTTTTTCAATTCCAATATTTTTTTGTGACTACCCTACTTATGAAAAGCTGTGCCTTTGGTAGTAACTGATGGCTCGCATATAAACAAGCAAGTTCTGTCGCTCCTGGTGTTGGCAGACTGTTCCAAAGTACTTTTTATTTTTTCCTCCGGTACCACCACAACAAATTTTTTTCGTTTTCAATTCAGGTCAGCAGTAGTCAATTCGCATTCCGTCAGGCGGATAGTAACATGGCAGCAGTTCTCCCAACCCTTATGAAAAGGTCGATCAAAAGACATCCGGATCAGGAATAGACGCTGTTAGGAAAGCATAGCTACGAGCTGACAGCAGGAGGGGGCACGTTTATTTTGTCCACATGAATTGCTGCCCTGCATTAAAATCTTTTTGAAGTAAATGAAAGGCTACTTTCCAAAGGAGCTTTGCTGCATACTGGCTTTTGCGAAAACTTGAAAGCAGGTGTGGAATATTAATATCATAGAAAAGCACATTGAGTACTGTGTAATGGCATATAAGTCACAGTGCCAACTTACTTATGTCCGGTAATCAGCAACTCATTGAGAGCAGCTCTGAAGGGTTTACTCGGACTATTTGCCACTGAGCTGCAGGAAAGGTCATGCTTTTGGATGGTGCTGAGATATAAGACGAAATGTCAGTGTTTGCAAGATTCTGCAAGCATGTTGAGCTTGTTTTTTCGTCTCCTTTTGGCACGGAGGCATGAAAGGACATTCTTAAGTGAACATACAAGCAGGAGAGTTTGTTTCAAAGAGAATCCAATGTGTCGCAGTCAAAAAAAAACTCTTTGGACTGAGCCAATTTACAGGCAGACCGAGAAACACTCTTAATACCAGCTCGCGGGGAGTAAGTGCCTCCATGATGGGCTCATCAGGCTCTCAAGACTTTTGTGCCCAGGCAGGTCTCCGAATTTAAAATATTAACCTAAATGTGGCATTACTTTGTCAGCTGAATTATCCTTTTTATAAATGTGTTTTAAATTCTCAATCAACCTGCCATAGATACAAAATCCCATGAGGCCCTGAGGCGTATTGCATACAACCTTAAGAGCGAGGTTTTTCTTCGCCGGCGAAATGCCGACGTAATTTTGAGAAAATGGCAATCATAAACAGTTTAGCGATATAATAATGATGATGATGATTAGACGCTCAATGGATCTAATTCTCAGCTATAGTTTTTAACTCATTCGGTACCAGCCAATTCTGGACCAAGTCTGAAAAGACGTTTAAAAACGTCTTTGGGAGTGAATGAGTTAATATCCGAAAAAGTTCAGTTCTGTACCTTCAGATGAAACAAGTTCAGCGTTCCTGTCACCTGAAGACTAGCTGTTGCTGTAAACATTCAGCCAGGGATCTCATGGGACGTCAAGCACAATTGAACATGATGAGCAAATATTTGGGACGACTGATAGTCTGCTCGAAGTTGAAATACTGCTGAATTCTGACACGGTGTATTCTCTACCTGACATCAAAACTCACTCGCCCTACTCTGTAAATGTGACACCCATTATCACGACCCATCATCAGACTGATGGAAATTTAGTTTATTCACAAAGTTAAAACGGAAGCCTTTTTTAGTCTTGTGAATGAAACTTTCATTTGGAACCGCAGTGCAAGGCCGTGCTCTTTAGTAACAGGCACGGCAAGCATAAGATGGTGTGTGTTATTCATGTACAATGGTTGAACACAATGTAGCCCGCGATGCGAGTCTGACCATTTTTACTGTAGTAGAATTACTGAATCAAAATTTCTAAATCCTTTGTTTAATCATATGAGAGAGGGGGGGACGGGGAGAGAGAGAGAGAGTTGAATGACACTAATCGTCTATTAGGACTTAATAGTCTTTTAAGAGTTAAGATAACCTTTGTTATATTCATCTATCCGTCAATATTCTACTGCGAATGTTCATACTCACATTTACACCGTTGGATAGTTAAGTCTTCAATGGAGCTTGACATGCGCGATTTTACAATGTGCCAAGGAGCAGGAGAAATTGGAGGAAACTCACGCAAGCGTGGGCAAAAAATGAGTTATGAATCATGACTCCGGCCAATCATAAACGGAGTTATGATTGGCCAGTCAGGAATTCATAATAATGTCACAGAGAAAGAAACCCCGATTTTCCCACTCCTCACCCCCCCCCCCAAAAAAAAACAAACATGCACTGACACACACACACACACACACACACACACACACACACACTGAATTCCAAATAGCAAGACGTTTGGTGCATTCAAATTTGGCGATGCCTCTGTTTTAACTTGATGCTATTTGCACTCTGTTGCCATTTTAGAGCACTGAAATTTTGTGGCCCCGGGGGACCTCCACATGTGAAGGTTGTCATCGAGTGGGATTACAAGCTTAAAGACTGGTAAGCGGCATGAGCGTAAAGTAGAGTGGGATGCATAAACCCCCCCGTAGCTAGTGTCCGCCTACGTTTTGTCACGATTTATGTCTTTGGCTGCCTGAGAGCCAAAATGACAAGGTTGACAACACAACTCGTCTCCTCCAGTGTGTTTGGCAGCATCCAGGAGGAAGTGGTTCAAGACGCCGAAAGTGTGCGGAACCAGCAGCAGCAGCACCTTCAGCAACATAGCTGCACTCTGGACCAGTGTTTCCAGCTGTATACCAAAGAAGAGCAGGTGAGCTCAAACATGTTCAACCAAACGATTTGCTTCATTTTCCGTGTGGTTTGCTTCCCTGATGAAAACAAGCACGTCATTGTTTTGACGGCTTTTGCCCACTTCTTGCTTTTGTCGGCCTCTCTTAACCATCAGATAAGTAGTTAAAGGGGGATAATGGGAGAGTCTTGCAGGTGTGGGTTTTGTTGTAGCAAAAGAATTGCATTTGGTCACTCACACCCCCCCGCACAAAGCAACTAAGCACTGCACATCGACCAATGCCCGGAAGAAAAACTGCAACCCGGTATAAGGTTTTGAGTCTCTGCAATGCGGATTTCAAAGCTCTCTGTGTAATTGAAAGCAATCGGCGCCAATAATGTTTGAGGTGCAGAATATGATATTGACATGTAGTTTTCATCCTGGCGGCTAGACGTCGAGGTCAGACAGGCTATATTCACGCTGCGGCACGCGACGCTCATTTTTTTGTTAACTCCGCTCTTTTGATGTTCTCGTTCACATTACAAAAAAACGAATGCGTCCTCCAATGGTAACTGTACGCGTTGGTGAAGTGACACATATTGGCACATTCACCTTGGCTATTTAAGAGAGGCTGTGATGATCGCCCGCCCCATTCACTGAGTGAACCTGCGAAATTTGGTGACAGAGACTTCCACGTTTTGCTTTCAGCTCACAGGTACATATTAAACATTTAAAACACAATATACAGTACTGTACATAAATGCATGTACAGTAAGTGCTGGATCTCGCTTGCGCCCTGCTCGTGCATTTTCGTTTCATCCGCAACGTTGGAGCACTTTTGGACTGCGATCCAAATTTTGTTGTAGTTTTGTCATTGCTGAGAGCATTTAGTTTCACTTCATCTCCTCAATATTTTTCTCTTCTCGTGCTCTTGACCTTACCGAGGTCTCTCCTTCCTTTGGAAGTAAGAGTTGTTAGAAAAAAACTACCGTCGCGAATTAATTATATTCCATTGTATTTATTATAAGTTAAGACTGTATTTGACCTTGAACCCAAATAAGAACGATGAATTTGTTTATCTAATTTTTTTTTCCTCATTCACCACAGCTCTCTCCTAATTTTCTTGAACTTGAACATTTATTTTATGTTTCTGACGTTACGGTTTGCGACAGATGCACAACCCTCTTCCAGATGATGAACGTTTAAGGGCAATAATGCACTGCCATTAAATTATGCAAACTGGTCAGTGCTGGAAGCATTGACTGTGCGACCATATGGTGCTGAAATAACATTTCGTGGTTCATCAGAGCGTGGCCATTTTTTTTTTTCTTGACTAAAAAGTTCAAATTAATAGCCACGTACACCCAAGGGCATTCAGCAAAAGCAACAGTTATGGCTGAATCCTCTACAACAGCTCCATAATGATTCTTTTGTCCTTCTTGTGTTGGCTTTTTCGCTGTGTGTAAGATCTAGATATACATGATCTATTGTGGTGATAGTTTGGATAAAATAAGTAATTTTACTCGTCCTCTGGGTTGAATAGAGGTAAAGACTTTTGTAATACCCCTCATTTTTATTCCACTCTGGAGCACAATAGAGAGAATTTGATGTAATCATGTCAGCTTGTTTCTGAGAGAGGGAAAAAAAATCCATTGCACGGAACAAAGTGAGGCAAAAACGGTATTTTTCCTCCCGCACAGCTTAGTGTATGCGTGATGCGGGCCGTACGTGTCCCTTGGAGATCTGATGAGAATGACAACCTGCGGAGTGCTGACAGCAAACGTGTTCCAACACAGCAGAGTGTCACAAAATGGTCTGCCATCCAGTCACTTTTCAGGGACAAATGATAACGCCAGTAATCAATTTTCTCTGCAACGACCATAAATGTCTGTTGATGAGTCATTTTTGTGCAAACAGCAGCGTCCTGCTTGCCAGATAAGTTTATGGTCTTCAAGCACTTTTGAGCTGAAGTCTCACGTTTGAAGAACAAATTGAAAGTTGACATAAAACGGCCATTTTGTTGGTTTCATCTAAAAATCTACTGTGGTGGTGTATAAAATGCTAAAATCGCTGTCCAATTCCTTCTGGGCCCAACTGTCTTTGGAAAACATGTCACATTGAAGGCTCATTGAACTGATTGCAGCTGGCCCCGGATGACGCCTGGAAGTGCCCCCACTGCAAGCAACTGCAGCAGGGCATGGTCAAGATGAGCTTGTGGACGCTGCCGGACATCCTTATCCTTCACCTCAAGCGCTTCCGACAGGTACGCAAGATGCAAGCGGCACAGCGATTCCATTTTATTACACATATTTTGAAGCCTCACAAGGCAACGAGTAGCTCAACACGTTAAAATAAGTAGAGCCATTCATGTCATAAGAGTGTATTGCACATTTTGTCAAATTCAGAATCAGAAGGGTATTTGTGATCACAGATTTATTCAAAGTACTTTTGGCCGGAGGTCCTCTTTCTCACACTTCAGAAGCTCAAGCTGACAAGACAGAAGGAAAAAAAAATACGTCTGCCAGAATTTTTCTGAGCTTCTCACCTCATCCTGTCAGCGGAAATGTGGACAAAAGGCTTCGAGCTTTGACCAACCCTAACCCTAACCCTAACCCTAACCCTAAGGACAGTCTCGACATGTGCAGAATACACAAGATCTTAAATCGACCGAGTGATGCATAAGAACAGCTCAAATATTCTCACTGAGTCATTGTAAGCATTTCTGAAAGATTTTGTGTGTGTGTGTGTGTGTGTGTGTGTGTGTGTGTGTGTGTGTGTGCGTGCGTGCGTGCGTGCGTGCGTGCGTGCGTGCGTGCGTGCGTGCGTGCGTGTGTAAAAATAATAATTATCTAAGCCGCCCCTTATCCTCACAAGGGTCACGGGCATGCCGGAGCTTGTCGCAGCCGTCTTTGGACAGTAGGCATGGTACACCCTCAACTGGTTACCAGCTGATAGCAGGGCACACATAGACGAACACCCGCGTTGACAATCACACATGGGGAAAATTTAGAGTGTTCCATTAACCTGCATGTTTTTGGTAAGTGGGAGGAAACCGGAGTACCCGGAGAAAACCCACGCGGGCACGGAACTCCGCATAGGAAGGCCGAGGCCCAGAATCGAACCCAGGACCTCTGCACTGTGAGGCAGATGTGCTAACCAGTTTAACCACTGTGCCACTGGTCATTCCACAATGTGTTTAAATTATCGCGACTGGCCTTTGCATTGCTGTACAACTGTATTGTGTCATTCGCAGGTACCGTCATAAGGTATACAATTGTATTTTTGCCAACAGGTAGGCGAGCGCAGGAACAAGCTTTCATCACTGGTGCATTTCCCGCTAACTGCCTTGGACATGGCCCCCCATGTTGTTAAGAGGAGCCAGAGTATGCGTAACCTGAATAGCGGGCCGTGGCCCGCAGCCTGGTCAAAGTCCGCAGGCCAACACCACCCGCCTGCAGACATGACCCTGCCACATGAGTACCTGTATGATCTCTATGCCGTGTGCAATCACCATGGAGGAATGCACGGGGGACACTACACTGGTAGGAATGTATGCTTGTCTAATGAGGGCTCGGGGGCGGGGGTGTTACGCTCAGTCAGGGGTCGGCAACCCAAAATGTTGAAAGAGCCATATAGGACAAAAAAAACAAAAAACAAATATGTCTGGAGCCGCAAAAAAATAAAACCCTTCTATAAAACTTAAAATGGCTCTGGAGCCGCGTGTTGCCGACCCCCGCGCTAAGTGTATATATATTCACCGACAGAAGGGGTCGCCATAGAAGAATCTTGCCTAGGGCGCCACATCGGCTGGGACTGGCCCTGACTAGATTGCCTTGATAAATTGAGGCCAAATCACCAATCTTATGCGGAATGTTTTTCCATTCAGTCGGTTCAGCCGCCTGTGGCTGAGGCCAACTTCTTGCATGCAAATATTTCATGTGAGGAGTTCAAGGAAATTCTCAATTATTTACTCCCAAACAATCCTTGATAATTGTAGCATTGACACACTGGTGGGAATATTTGTCACCAGCCTATTGCCGGAACTCAGTGGACGGTGTGTGGTACAGCTATGATGACAGCAGTGTGGACCTGGTCCCTGAGGAGGAAATCTGCACCAGAGGGGCCTATATTCTCTTCTACCAAAGACGCAACATCATTCCTCCGTGGTCGGCCAGCAGCTCCTTCAGAGGTACGCTTCCAATTACCGTGGACAGTAAAAAAAATCATATTTAACAGTTTATAAACACGCAAAGTGAAGAGCATATTAATCCTTTCAGGGACAGCGTTTAGTACAGTGAACATCTTATCATGTTATCACGTTACAGGGTGCATGAAAGGGTTAAGGTTATGTGAAGAAATATTGAAATTAGGGCAGGGGAATAAAACATATTGAGCATAAATGAGAAAAATAACAGCTGTGACAATTTTGAAGGTATCAAGAGCCCAGGTTAGTTTTACCCCATTGATGATGTCCTGCAATAGTAGTTCTCCATTTTGCAGACTGAATGGCATGCCAATCATGTAATCATGAATACTGAGTTATTAGATTGTACATTATGAATTTGTGGTGTGGATGACTCTTAAAATTGCATGTGAGTAATGAGAGGTTTTGTCATGAATTAATGACACATTTCAATAGAATAACAATATTTGGCCAAATGTAACCTGCTTATGTCAGCAAATCCAGATTTAGATTAAATTAACATTTAAAATTAACGTATTTTTTTTTTTTGCATCAGGTAAGAATATGAGCAAAACTGAGAGGAATATAATTTGATCTGACAATATTCTTAATTTCTGCATTCAATTTGGCTGTACTGTATATGTATTCAAGCTTTTAAGGCACTCTTTGTCAACTCAAAAGTTACTATTGCAATATTGACCTTACCGTTAGCTTAACTTTCTTTGTGTGGTTTAATCACAAGAAAGCCATTTTGGCTATTCACTTTTAACTTTGTCATGTGTGAGGAGTCCACATAAAATCAGACACTATTTCTCATTATGAAGTATTTGCGAGTATTGTGGTTTCTCTCTGAGTTGCTAAGATACTGGTTTCTCGCTGTGCGTCAAAGCAAATCAAAGCCGCCACCACCTAAAAGACACATTTAGTCCTAGCTCAGAGCCGTGCAGCTTAGTTTGATACAAACAAAATGCCGAAAAATGAATACTGTAGTCAATTAAAGGTTCCCCTGGATGCAAGCATTTCTTTGAATGCATTTCCCTAAATGGGAGCTTTAAATATTCCCAAATAATGAATGCAGTCTTGTAAGGTTCAATTTATGATTGTAAAAAACACAACTCTGTCTCAACTCTCAACTGCATTTATAGAGCACTTTAAAACAAGCACCGCTGCATACAAAGTGCTGTATATGGAGCAAATATCATATGTACAACAATAAACCATAAAACAAAATAACGAGGACATTAGAAAGCACAAAAAAGGAAAACTAAGATCAAGTCTGAGTCATGCTGAGTCAAAAGCCAAAGAATACAAATGCGTTTTGAGACGAGTTTTAAAAATGGACAGGTGGGGGCAGGGGGTTGCGTGCCGAATGTTCAGTTGGAGGTCATTCCAGAGAGAGGCACCAGCAACGGAAAAGGCTCAATTCCCCTCTGAGCCTCCGCTTTGTTCTTGGTACCTCTAATAATGTCTGGTCTGCAGACCTCAGGCGCCGGGCAGGTGTGTAGCTCAGAGAGGTAAGGTGGAACGAGGCCATTTAAAGATTTGAAAAACAAATACTAGGATCTTAAAAAGAACTCTAAAATGTATAGGAAGCCAGTGAAGGGATGCCAGAGTAGGAATTATGTGCTCCCTCTTACGAGTACCAGTCATTGGCGAGCAGCAGTATTCTGGACCAACTGGAGACGCTTAATGGAGGATTGGCTGACTCCAAAGTCAAGTGCATTACAATAATCCAGCCGGGATGTGACGAAGGCATGAATTACTGTTTCCAAGTGCATGAGAAAGAAACACAAGACCTTGGCTTATATTAAAAGTGATATTAAAATGTCCAAACATTAACTTTAGTCAATTCAACTCTTCCGTGTTCAGGCATCCTGATCACGGTTGGACATTTTCCCTGGAAAATGAGAAGATAGCCAGCGGCGGAAAGGCAACGCTCTGTATACTGAAGCATTTGGTCTTTCAAATAACAGCTTGAATACATTTTAAAACACTCTGCAAGCATCTCAGCATTCACGAAGGTTACAAAAAAATCTGACTCTCAGAGCATTTGATCTGAGAGTCTCCATATCTGGTACAGAGTCTCACATGAACCTGATGTCGTGACACTTTTAAGTTCCTGCTCACTTTTTCCAAAAGTCTCATTCCTAGTGCAGAGTGTTCCAGCAAGTGTTTTCCAAAATGGATGGGTCACACTTTCCTCCCCCGCTGCCGTTTGTCCCCCTCAGGCTCAACAAGTTCTTCAGTATCAGACCATTGGTTGATCCGCCTGACAGGAGAGAGCAAAAGAGGCAGCGTGGTGTCACGCACCTCGACCACCTGCCTGTCTTCCGTTCCCGACTCCCCTGACTCTCCCGTATTCCTGGAAAATAAAGAGAAAGGAGGTGAGCGTGCCTGGGGTCAGTGAGTGTCTCCAGTGAGGCTTCTTTTGAGATCGACAATGAACTATTTAGCAATTAGGGCTGCGGAATGCTCGGGATTACAGCAACACTTTGTGTCTCGCTCTGCGGTTGGATGCCATGTTGACTCCGGATGCGTTGTGCGCTGTGGTAAATATGGCAACCGCTACTCGTGGTGCTGGCAGTCATAATGTCATTATAAACTCCCAGAGACACCGCCTGTGATATTTTTTTCCTGAAGGGGGCATCTGTTTGAGCTGCCGCAGAGACCGTATATTTAAGTGATGAGTCACGGCCAGCAAGTCGAGCTTGGCCTCTCTGAGGGAATATAATGAGCATTGGCCGATGTCATTACAGCATCCAATTATTGTCCATGTTGATAAATGGGGGGATTGGCACACCCGCATCCTCCAAACAATGACTGCCTGGTGGAGTAATTAAAACCAGAAATTGGGCACAGAGCTAACCGTGTCACTTTAAGGCTGGTGTCTCTGAAAATGATCGGTTGCTCTTGTTAAGACCAAGAAAAAAAAAATGACCATTTTTGATAAGCTACCGGTACTCAAAACTTGTGGGTTTTTTTTTTTTTTTGAAGAGACAAAATAACCTAGGACAAAGACAAAGTGATTGCCAAGCCGCGATATCGGCCAAATGCAAAAATATGTGGCTGACAATTCTCAAAACAACACAAAGGCACATTTCTGTAAAGTTAAAAAGAATTTTAATTTTGCAAGAGCAAATAAGCAATATAACAGGGATGGTAACATTTTGCCCAAATGAACTGGATTGTAGGAAATTAACTTAAAAGAAAAAAATCATTTAGTGACGTTGCAAAACAAAACTTTCCAATCAAAAACTGTTTAATGAAATGTCTACTCAGAGAGAATTGAGACATTCCTTTCCATCAAATCTGGTTTGATGGAAAGGAAAAACAGCACGACGAGTATTGCAAACAGCATTTTGGCATTGAACCGCAGCTGCAGTCGACCTTGCGTTTTTATGTTTTTTATATATATATATATATATAAAGGGTTTGCATATTGGTGGTTACATCTGCCACCCAACTGATTTTCATGAAAGACTTGAGTGTTTATCAGATTTTTTTGGAAAACTTTTTGGGATGGAAAAAAAAATAACCCCCAGTGCATTTCAATGACCCTCAAATCTATGCGCACGTTCAGTATTCATGCGCTCGCTCGGTCCGTATTCCTCTTATTCCCCCGCGAATAAGTGGGGTCCACTGCACTGCTAACCATGAATGAAGCCTTGAATTGTGCTCATACTCAAATTTTGTCCTCTCTCTTGTCATTTTTAAGGGGGCTTTGAAAGTCGACCATTTGTGAGGGGACTGCAAGGGCGGAGTGTCAGCATGAGGGCACCCAACAAGACCAAGGACACCCTAAACAAGGTGCTACCCCTGCGTTGGTCGCTTGGTTCTAGAGACCGACGAAAACCCGACCCGGCACCTCCGGACGTTCAAGATCCAGTAGAGCTGGTCCAATATCTGGAGTCGGGCCGACGGCCTCGCTGCACCAAGGACCCGATAGAGTCGTTAATGAACGAACCTCGAAGCGCTAAGGAAACGAATGGAGGCCGGCCTGTAAGATCCTCCAGTGCGGGGAGGATCAGTTGCTTGGCTAAAGCGGGAGACGAATCCAAACAAGTGCCAGAGGGCCAGAGGAGGCCATCGGATCAAACGTCCAGCTTAAGACGCCAGAAAGAGAGCCCGCCAAGTGAGGAAGGCAATAGTAACACTCTAAGCAGGAGAAGAGACTCTAAGAGGCAGAGCTCCTCCAAAAGCCAGCAGGAGATGAAACAAGCATCCAGTTCGAGTGTTCAAAGCAGCTCGAGCATTCTCACCGGCACTCTCAGAAGACAGAAAGACGAGCGGACGGACGGGGAACGCCGTGTCGCAAATGAGGGAGGTCTCAAGCCCAAGAGCCACGAGGGACTGATGTCTATCCTTAAAGGCAACTTCCTGAGGAGGGAAAAGGACTCCCGGAGATTGAAGGACGGCACGGACGAGGATGGCGGAAGAAGGACTCTGTCCAGGCCGCCGTTGTCGAACGGAGCGGCCGGAGGTGAGCAGAGGAAGTCTCACGGCAAAGAACTCTCAAACGGGAGAGCGGGGCGGAGCTCGTTGGACATCAAGCGCTCACAGAGCTCGTCCAGCCTCCCCGCCAGGCCGGATCAGAGCGCGCGTAGGACGGCGTCGCTGCATCGCAACGGCACGTCCCCTCCCTCGGCGGAGATCCGCAGGCCGACCACAGAAAAGACGTCTTATGGGAGCCTGCCGAGGCCGCGCTACAGCACCACGTCTCTGGGGCGCAAAAAGAACGTTCCAGAGTCCAGCTTCTGACGAGGACGCCGCGAAGGGATCGCCTGCCCGTCAAGTCAAAGCAATAGAGCACAATTGAAGCTCTAACGAAGCTTCAACGCTTGGATGCAAAGAGCCGAATGACATTTTGTGTCCTCTCGGGACTACCGAGACTTCAAACAAGTGCCTCAGCAACTTCTATGCAGTTTAGACAATGTGTTGGTCTTTAACCTTTTTGAGCACTGGAAGCACACGACACTGATAACAGATCCACTTACCTAGCACATTTTTGTCTTATTATTCTATTTTTTTTTTTCAGTCCACTTCATCCTTAATCTTTATGAGTGTAATTTGCTAACAATCACGACGCACCGATTGTGTTCAATGAAAGAGAATGTACAATGGCTTTAATGCTGCTAATTCACCTCAACTATTTCACTTGTTCATTTCTCAAACGCTTTCATTCTCAAGTCGTTACACATTCCATTCCCGACCAAATAAGGGTTGACGAGCAATGAGGGCTTTGTTTTGGTAATTGTGTGTTTATGTCTTCAAGGGCAACAGTATTTTTCCTCACCCCTAACCCTCAGCTTTTTTGTATACTTCTTTGTGGAATCGCACCTCACTTTATACAATGGAATCTCCAATGACGACCATGAATCCATTCCGGGACAACTTGTTCTGATTTGAAAACCATTTCTTCCGTCGGATATGATGACAATAGAAATTGTTCCGGAGGAAAAAGTGTCCGCCAATCGTAAAACTTGATTGTAAAAGCAATGACTGTCCAGGAAATGTTTTCAAGGAGACATATGCAATATTCCGCTATTTTAAAAAGAAGTTCAAACTTGTTATATTTCTTGACTTGTTGACATTTGACCAGTTGAGAGGGACCGAGTGAGCGGGTTCATGCTGCGCCACTGGTGAGTCTGGCTTCGTTGCCATGACGATGCCATGACTTTCTGACCGATCGAGGGTTGGACTGGCGAGAGCAGAGCCCTAATTTTGGGGCGTAGGAGGATCCGGGTGCGGGTGAAACGAGCACCCATGAAGACAATCAAATAATTTTATACACTTCACTGTGTGGTGGTGACGCATGGATACACGGCGACACCTTTCCAGAAAGGCAGATAACTCAAGATTTAGTTGCTTAATTTCAATCTGACCTGGTAGTCAAGTGCCCAAACATGAAAGAGTCCATTTTCCAAATATGAACAGCCAACAAAGTAACCACTAATTTAAACTGTGAAAACAATTTACCGGAACTTTTCACATGTAGCAGCAAGCCGGTGACAGCTAGCGCACGCAGCTAATGTTAACTGTGAACAACAAATAATCCCCCCCGCATTTGAAGTCTCTCGTTGTTTCCTTTTTCTTGCTGCTGCTGCAGCACATCATTCAAGACCTAAAGTGGTTGTTTGGTCCCATTGGAAGCAGATTGGTGTCGTCACCATTCGTCTCTCAAAGTAGCAACTATGTTTTCATTGTGAGAAAAGCATTCGTTGTCACACGTTGGTCGAAATGAAAAGCACCCAAAAGCAACGAATGACCGGCCGCATAGACTGAATGCCAATTGTTTTTGCTTTCCCCCTTCGAACCGCTAGTTAGGCTGTCTAACTCGGAGAGCATGTCAAGCTTGACTCATTCATACCCTATTTTAGCTCACCTTCAAAGAACAACAACACACCAGAAGCAGCAGCACAATGTTCATTGAATCGCAGCAACAAAAAAATGCTTTTTATTACGCTGGTCAACATTTTTTTTTTTTTTAATCAGAAATGCAAGTTAACTTTTCTAAGTGAATGTTTTGCGCTGATTCCGAATCTGCCTTTGTATTTTTCTAGCAGTTTGCTATCCAACCATCCATTATCCGAACCCCTTCCTAACAATAATATGATAGGAATACACTGTAGTGTAGTAAAAATATATTTTAGTGTTTAGGAATTTGGGGTTTGGTTCAGCAACTGAATTTTTTTTTTTCTGGAACGTCATAGCTATAAATAAGACATGGTAAAACCCATGCCGTGCAAGCTTTTGTAGGTCCAACTTAATCAAAACATTCATATCTTCAAAAAAGTTATCTGCCAGAAGAAGTGAAGACATTTTCGAAATCAGCGCTAAAAGTATGTTTAGGGACATATAAAGCCAGCTCTGTTTAAAATGTTCTCCTGCCTATTGTTATTTACATTCAATTATATTCTCCGTTTTTATACATTTACACTATCATATAGCACTAATGTATTTTAGCTCGCCATTTTTCCAAAACACTTTACATACGTTTTTGTTGGGATGTGTTGGACGGCTAAAACTGATTAGTAGCATTTCAATTGAAAATGATTTGAGATATCCCGGGTTCGATTCCAGCTCCGGCCTTCCTGTGTGGAGTTTGCATGTTCTCCCCGTGCCTGTGTGGATTTTCTCTGGGTAGCCCCCCCCCCCCCACACACACACACACACACACAATATTATTTTTTTAATTCGCGTCCATTATATGCAGATTTGCAATTTTCAAGTCCTGGCCCGGTCCCGCCGGTGCAAATCTGCTGGTGTTTATTCAACACCAAGGGTGTTAAATTTAACACTGGTCAAGTGTCGATATCCATTCACACTACCTGGTGTTGAAGTTACACTTTCTAAAATGTTAAATGTTCAACATCTAACAGTGTGCTACAGCAACAAAATGTACTGTTGACAGTGCAATTAATAATGACACTTCAGAATGCTCATGCAAACGCAAGATGGGCGTGGTGGGCGGGGGGCGCTCACTACCTTCAATATAATACAGTACTGATTTAAATTGAAAAAAATTTCTTTTATGAACTCCATTTCAGACAGCATCGGCATGAAGATGTTAATTTCACTGAAAGTAAGGGATTCATTTGCAGTACCCACACATACAAACATTCCATTCTGGAATTCACTTGCATTGTTTTTCACCCAGGGGCTTGCAGCAACACTAGCCATTATATATTTGACAACAAGCCAACACCTGGTCCAGATTGTGTAGAATCTCTGTGCACAAATGAGAAAACCGAATCGGTTTGTGCAACTCAATACTCACTTGTTGGTGAGGCCTCGCCTTCCAGAATGGAATGATGCTCATTCGACTGAATCGAGTCAGATGGGCGACCCGCCACGGCGCACACAGCTCGGCCGGTTTGTGTGCAGTGTCAGTGTTACATCTTCGAAGACACAGGCAAATTGATGACTGAATGCTCTGAATGCAACACTGACATTCTGTTTTGAACATTGTGACCGGATTCTTACCACTGACCAGTTTGCCATGTGTTGCCCACTATACTGTATTCAATTTTGTGAAGTCCTCATTCCTTCCCCTTAATTCCTCAAAAGTGTCACAAATTCCAATGGAAAGTTTACTTTGAAACAACAATTGATCATCTAAACTTCAGAGAGGAACTTTTTTTTTCCCATCTATCCCCCAGTTAAAGTATGTCCACTTTACATTCTTTGAAGCTGAGCCCTTGTTTTAAAACACAAGCATTTATAATATGCAAGATTTCTACATTGGAGTCATACCGATCTGCCGTCTGTGTGCGGGAGGGATGGAATGAAATGCACGCGTGTGTGTGTTCTGAAGTGCGACATGTCTAGCCTGCTGTTCACATCTTTTAGAAACACTCAGATATGTCCTTGAATGTGTGAGAATCACATTGAGTTGTATAACTTTATTTTTCCAAGACCATGAATAAAAACGATATATATATTTATTTTTTTCCTATGGTGTGATTTAAAAAAAATTAAATTTTAGTCTGCTTATTTTTCTTGCTCTTTATCACGCTGCTTCTACATCCAGTTAAGATCCATTCTGCCCGGTCTAAATTTAGAATCCCGTTGATTCATGAGCAGAAGTTTGTCAAAGCACTAGCCCTGGTGTGTTTATTTGATATATATATATACACACACACACACACACACGCAGGAGCATGACTGATGGTTTTGAGAGATTTTTACGTTTTATACTGTGGCCAGACGAGGACAGAGTTGGCATGCCATGGGATAAAGGTATGTACTAAATGTTAACACTTAACAAAACAAAATTGCAATAAATTCAAGCACCTGCTGTGTTATTCTTCTTAAGCTTTGAGTCAAGTTAAATCGTCCAGTCTGACATTTAATTTCAGATTTCTGCCACCCATCTGTTTCGAATCAGTGATCTGAAGCCTTCCATCTGATGCATTTCGAAAAACAAATCAAACCTCAGAGGTTCTGTCATCAAAAGGTCACGAACTGTTTTTGAAGTAGGATTTTTTTCACGAATGAAATTTGGCTTTGCACATCAAGCAGCATTAATATCAAGGTGGTCAACTTAAGCTGAATATTCAAACAGCCTCCTGGCATTAATACCAGACTTAATTTGATATTTTTTTTGTCCCCCCGCCACAATGTTATTTAATTTTTTTTTTGTGTTGCAGGGCCATCAAAAGGAATTTGAGGCAGGGAAGGCAGCAGATGAGTCAAAGCTTTTCCACTGTCAAACTTCTGAAAGGCTTATCAACCATCAAAGTAATTTTTTTTCTCAGAAAAAAAGGGAAACGTTTCCATGTGTAGGTAACGGTGACAGGCAATGCATTTTGAGCATTGGTATTCACTTGGGATTTCAGTGACGTAATCCACCGCTTAATGCTGTACCACTAACCACATTGCAATTTTGCAAAATAAGAATAATAATATGCACAGGTATCTAAAATAATGTGTAGCATTACGGATTGGGAGACACACGTCACAAATTTGAGGATGAGCTACACCAGGGTTCCCACTCTTCCACTTGCTTTTTATTTTTGGACCTTGTAAGGACTTTTGAGGGTTAATTTAGCCATTTTTGAAGAACTTTTTCTCCATTCAGCAGGGGTTTCACAGTGAATTTAATGAGCAGAAAGCCACATATCACTGAGCTATCGTTCAAATCATTGCTGCCAAAGGAAGGGCACATCTTTATTTTTAGGGGCAAAGCTAACCCTTTATTTGACATACTGTCTGTCAAATTGGCCCGAAATGACCCGAAGTGATCACGCGATCATCATCAGAACTGATCGGAGACGGCGGGAAAAGCAGAGCGGGAACCAGGAAGGTATGTAGCCCGACAGCGGGGTTTGAGGGGAAGGGCGCCAGGCGCATTTTCTGACAAAACTATTAATTGGAAGGGTGGAGAAAATGACACACGCAAATGAAATGAACACCACAGGTTAATTTTTAAGGATTTTATTGATTTTAGAAGCCTTCCCTGAAAATTAAGGACAATTAAGAACACAATTTTACAACTTATTTTTTATGGATTTTTATGAACTTTAAGGACCCGTGGAACCCTGTACAATGTAAATACAGCAAGGCAGTGCAATTTTATTTGTTTTGCACATTTCAAATACAAGGACACAACACGTACAAGCAGTTGCAAACACAACGGTTACCGTTCAGATCAAAGCAGAGAAAGCAAAAATAGCTGACAAAAATTGCTAGAATGTACGGTGACGTTTAAAGACATCAATGGAAAACTTTAAAAACATTTAAAAGTGAAGAAATAAAAGTGGGTGTCTAAAATATATCAAAGAAATATTTTAAATTGTTTCGAAGACCTGAATTTAAGGTATGTGAAATTACATTTCCTCTATATACACACATTAAAAGCAGCTTTTCCATTAAATATCCCGTATATGTAAAGCCTTGCACGGCTGGGCAGAAACACGAGACGGAGCTCCTGTTGCCAACATGCCCATATTTGGAAGTGCTACCAGAGCAACGTACCAGGAAGTAAGTATTGGGACTTGTCGCTGGTTCAACGATAAATAGACCTCACCTTGACAAGATGTAGCTTGGATTGTAGTAAAAGAAAGCCCTGGCTCTGCTCATTTTAAGAAGGAAGACGCCCGGCCACTCTTCCCAGCAATTCTCCATTCCACGGTGCGTGCTCCTCACGACATACACAATAAATAGATCTGACAACAGCACACAGAGCAGTATGAAAAGCGCTTCCCAGTTCAATCACCCGACTTCCATGCAGGCAGCATGAGTTCAGTTCCTACAAAGTGAAGGTGTCAATAGAACTGTGAGTGTTGTGAAGGTCGACTTCAAAATGACACCTTAGTTGTCGTTTGTTTTTTCATATTGTGTTTGTTGTCCTTTGTGTGGACCCGTTGTGGGTTGTTTTTAGAGTTTTGGCCACGGCATTCGTCGAAGGAAAAAGATCTGTGCTTGATGGTTGCGCCTTCTCGGCAGCACGCGTGTACCAGCACAGATTTTGATGGAATGGAATGCCGGCGCTATTTGACTGTCGCCGCTTGACAGTCCCTCCGGGCGCTTGTGTTCTTTTGTGCCTGTACTGGGCAGCGTTTTTCTCAGTCCCCTTTTGTTCAGCGCAGAGGTAGGCGCTGTTGGACAGTCTGCGTGAGTGCGGCTGGATGGATAGCTGTTGGAGCCGAGCATGAGGAGAGAGAAGCGTTGGCGTGCAGCGCAGATGCGTATTTGGAACTGAGAGTCCCGGCTTGGAATTGAAGCCAAACTAAAATTGATCGTTTTCTTCAGCGGAGATGTAGGCGCTGTTGGACAGTCTGGGTGAGTGCGGCTGGAAGGATGGCTGTTGGAGTCGAGGATGAGGAGAGAGGAGCGTCTGCGTGGAGCGCAGATGCGTATTTGGAACTGAGAGTCGCGGCTTGGAATTGAAAATTAAAATTGATAGAAGTGAACCCATTTCTTTTTTCACCAGTGAACGCCACAGCTTCTTGTTTACTTTCAAATTTTGCTTGTAGCCGATATGTGGGACGTCATGCACGTTTGGGGCACAATGTCTCTGACCCACTGTTAAAAGGAGACTTTGATTCTCTCTTCTTTCATCTATAACTGTTTCAAACAACAAGACGTATGCAGGAATAGTTGTTACGATTGTATGGCTGTCCATGTTTTATGTTGTGTGTCCTGTTATCTTTTATTTTATGTGAACTGTTCTGTAAAGTCCTTCGTTACAGCTGCAGCTGTTGTGAAAGTGCTATGTCAATAAAGATGTATTGTACTGTTGCTTTTCTCTCTGTGTGCCCTGCGATTCATTGGTTAACAGCCCAGTGAATTGTTTGCCTTTCTCCCATCTTGAACAGGATAATAGAAACTCGACAGATGGATCATCAAGATCACTGGCTTTTCTGTGGCATGAAGACGTGAAAGCAGATTAACCTGGCTAATGTCTAATCCAGATTGTATTTTTGTTCAAAAAGCAAAGGGAAAGCACATTTGCTTCACTGTGGCTCTACACTTGAAGGTATCTCCCTTGGCGCTGGCTCCAGGTGAGCACCTTCGGGCACCATCCTCATACACACACTGTCACCCTCTGTGGTGCTGGAATGGACGTTGAACTTCCTGTTGGCCGGCCGCACAGCCCTGACGAACTGCTTCTTGAAGGTCTCGCTAAGTACGATGTAGAGGAAGGGGTTGATGCAGCTGTTGGCGTAGCCCATGCTAATGGCGATGTTGTAGGCGTAGGAGAAGGCCATACTGGGGTTCTGCACGCCCAGGTGAACGAGCTGCAGGATGTAGTAGGGGGCCCAGCAAATGAAAAAAGCCAAGCAGATGGCCACCGCCATTCGCGTTACATTCCTGACGCGTACCCTCAGGCTTCTTTGGGGTAGCGGGGCCACACTGGTGGACATGTGCTGCAGGATTTTAAAGAACACTCTGCAGATGATCGCAAGAGGGATGGCGAAGGCCAAGAAGAACTGGTACAGCGTGAACCAGTACGTGTTGGTGACCGGGTCGGGCAGGAGCAATGCACAGGCCACCAGTCCGCCAGGAAGGGGCATGAGGTCGGCGTACATCCACACGGGGATGATGGTGATCAGAGACAGCGCCCAGACGACAGCGATGATAAAGCAGGCCACGCACGGCGTGCGGATGTAGTTGAAGCGGATGGGATGTACCGTGGCCACGTAGCGGTCCAGCGTCATGGCCGTGAGGATGTACGTGCTCACGATCTGACTGTTGGAGTCCAGCACCGTGATGACCGTGCACATGGTGGCACCAAACCGCCATGTGCCGTTGCCTAGCAACTGGTGGATCAGGAAGGGCATTCCGAGCAGGAAGAGGACGTCCACAATCGACAAATTGAGGATAAAGACGTCCGGGACGGTTTGCTTGGCACGACACTTTGTTTTCTTCATGATGGTGTAGATAACGATGCTGTTGCCCAGGATGCCAAACAGGAAGATGCCGCCAAAGATGACCAGCAGGATGGTGTTGTAGTGAGGAGGACTGTCCGCAGCTGGAGATACAACAAAGCAGCGAAAAAGGACACATGCAGTCATGGGTGAGGAAATTTTAGATCAGAAGGTAGGGCTGGACACTTAACTGAAATTGATCGGATTTAAATCGGATTTGTGGTATTTAAATCTACATTATAGCAAAGTAAGGTACTTTTAACTTTTTTTTTTTTTTTTTAAGACCCATGATGTGAAATTTATGGGGTTTATCAAGATGGAGTTCATTCGTCTGTTTCGCGCAGTAGTGTTTTTTTGAACACTTTCAAAGCAACAGCTTGATTAATTTATCAAGGAGGAGTTCATTCGTCTGTTTCGCACAGTAGTGGTTTTTTTGAACACTTTCAAAGCAACAGCTTGATTAAAACAATGTACAAGTTTTACAAGTTAAAAGTTCTCCCGCGACAAACCAGATCTGGACGGACGCTGCCATTTTCAAGTACGTAAACGATGATGTCACTACGCATGTACGTCAAGACTGAGCATATGCACCCCGAACTATAATGTAGTCATTTCTCTGCGACTGAAAGTTTACGAGATACCAAAGGCTGGACTGTTACGAGTAAAGACTCCATTTGTGTGGCTTCCATAAATGTCTCTGCCTTTTCGGCACCGTCAGCAGTATCCAATGTTTTTGGTGCTTGCGCCCCCTCGTGGTATGATACAGAGTAACTGGCTACATATTTGTGACTCTCGTTCCAAATGTGTGACTGGTTACCTATTTGTGACTCTGGCCACAACTTTGCAAATGATAATTGCCCCCCAAAACGTAGTATCACAAACAAGCAAGCAAGCCACCCGCAGGCCCCCCCACCACCACCACCAGCAAACACACAACACATGCACCCAGAGACGCGCAGCTGCTCACCTGATACTCTCACAAAAAAACAATAACAATAACTCTAACCAAAACCTTTGTTCTACAGAGAGTGTCTTCTTTTTCAAATATAAGCTTTGGGTCTTAATTGTTTCACTCTATTTTATTTTGGGAGAAATATTGTTTTATTTTTGTTTTGAATTCACTGAAGACAAATTGCTCGCCCACCAGCAAACACACATTGGACTTCAAGCAGTGCAATAAAGGGAGGATTTTTATACAGTAGTTCATATAGTAGTTTCCACACAGAACCTGGAAAAAAAACGTTCGTTTTCCGGTGATGCAGTTTGTTTATTTAAACCTTTCATGCACAAATAATGATAACCTGTAACCTGATAACCTGATAAGATGTCCAATTGACAAGGTTAAGAAAAGAATCCAGACATAATAAACTAAATAAAAGCTAGTATTTTCTATTGTCCAAGAAATGTTCTTCCAAATAAGTCCTGGCTTTTAACCATGGGCGTCATTAGGCCTATTTTAGGGAGGCTTCAGCCTCCCTAAATATGTCTTTAGCCCCCCTAAATAATTTCATTGCATTATTTAAAAAAAGTATGATTTATTTTTCCTGTACTTTTGCTCATATATTGCATCAAATTCAATGTAATGTGGCCATTTTAAATTATATTTCGATAACCTGCCATTATTGTAATATTAATCTCCCAGGATTCCTGAACGCAACAGGTGTTGCGTTAGCATTTGACGTGTCTGTCACCATCTCCACATCAAATGCTAACGCAACAACTGACAGTTCATTGAACTGAAGAAAGTGCTTGGTAGATATTAAAAAGGACAATTGCTGAAATGTCAAGTAAATTGAACATGACTTTGAAAGGAATTGGTTGTTGTCCAGGAATAGGGAGACGAGAGCTGGCCTTGGTGTCAACACGAGGAAGGCTTTCACTTTCCAAACATCCTGAGGCGGGAAATAGATCCAGTTCTTGTCTGTAATCGTGCCCTCACCCTCGTGCGTTCAGTGCGTGACCGCAGTAAGTTAAAAGTTCACAGCTCCCCCATCAACATGTTGGCAGAAAGATGACGGATGACTTTGAGCGTTTGAAAGTTGGACACAAAGCGAGAATCTCATTCATTTTGAATTCCACCAAACATGAGATAACCAAGGGAGCTCCATTCCGAGATGAATAGGGCCATACGGTGGACATAAAAAGTCTACACACCCCTGTCGAAATACCAGGTCATTGATGTGACCTGTAAGCTGTACAAGAAAGTACAAATAAATGAATAAAAAATTCGAAACGGGTGTGTGCGGACTCCCACTTGACATGAGAGGAATGTTGAACGCGATTGGTGGATTCTGAACAAAGCCCCACCTGAGTTATCGGAGGGTGTGTACACTTGTGCAAAGACACATTATCAGTTGTTCAGTTTTCTTTCCCTGACTCCCTTTTTCCAGTTGCGCTGTACAGGTTAAAGGTCATCTTCATAGAGAAAAAAATTATTTTGCTTCGTCTAATCTCCACCCGCAGGCCCCCCCACCACCACCACCAGCAAACACACAACACATGCACCCAGAGACGCGCAGCTGCTCACCTGATACTCTCACAAAAAAACAATAACAATAACTCTAACCAAAACCTTTGTTCTACAGAGAGTGTCTTCTTTTTCAAATATAAGCTTTGGGTCTTAATTGTTTCACTCTATTTTATTTTGGGAGAAATATTGTTTTATTTTTGTTTTGAATTCACTGAAGACAAATTGCTCGCCCACCAGCAAACACACATTGGACTTCAAGCAGTGCAATAAAGGGAGGATTTTTATACAGTAGTTTATATAGTAGTTTCTACACAGAACCTGGAAAAAAACGTTCGTTTTCCGGTGATCGCAATTTGTTTATTTAACCCTTTCATGCACAAATAATAATAACCTGTAACCTGATAACCTGATAAGATGTCCAATTGATAGGGTTAAGAAAAGAATCCAGACATAATAAACTAAATAAAAGGTAGTATTTTCTATTTCCAAGAAATTTTCTTCCAAATAAGTCCTGGCTTTTAACTATTTTATCATATAAAAAATGAATTGAAATTTAGCAATTCAATTATACATATTGATTAAAAAGTCGACAATAACGAGTAAGGGCGCAATAGCCTTAAATCTGAACAGACAGAGATTAAATTCAGTTGGGAGCGAAATGAGTTATTATAAAATGAGGTGGGTGGAAGTTAAAAAAAATAAAATAAAAAAAAAGCAAATGTGATTGATATAAATCTGATTTGCAATGTTCCGAGAGAGTGAGTCACAGCTGTGGAGAAAGGGCAGAAGTTAAGATTTTTTTTTTTGGGGTGATCTGCACTTAGTTTTTTTTATCCTTCAACAATGGTGTGACAGGCTTGCCGTTTCTACCGAACAGTTCCAGTGATGTGAAGCAGATGAACAATGGCGTTTATAAAAGGAAGGCAGAGAGGAAAAGGAAGGTGTGGGTTGTGGGAAGTGGATGAGTTCAGTAATTACAGAGGAATCAGGCAGTTGAACACAGACAAAGAGACGGTGCGCTATTTCAGACAATAGTGTGCACAAGATGCGCATGAGTCCCATGACTGAAGAAAAACTTACCAAATGAAACCAAAAACACAGCTTCGACCGATGTTGCACAAGATGTGATATGGATTGGGATGTTTCCCTCTTACAGGGGGGAAGTTGCGATGCAGCTGTAGGAAATGAAAGCATGTTTCGTTTTTTTTTTTAATGGAAAGTATAACCCCCACCCCCCCCCAAAAAAAAAAACATTGAATATAACACATACCAGTCTACCTGTTCACCCACCTAATGATGCATTGATGTATCCTAGGGAGAAATTGGACTCGGTGAAGAAATCCATCGCTGCTTTCGCAAGTATGGGCAAGTTACACGAAGTCAAATCAAGAGAACGCCAAAGAAAAATGCTCTTTATACACGGGAGCTCTTGCACATAGAGCTCAGTTGGAATAGCTGTGAGCATTACAAGGATGAGACTACTCTGTTCACACACACAGGAGTAGTCCGTTTCTCTTTCTCTCTCTCTCTCTCTCTCTCTCTCTCTCTCTCCCCCACCCTCATCCTCTCCCTCTCCCTCGACAGGGACTCGCCATCATTATTCTCCACCTGTTACACATGTGGAAAAAGAAACGTCTCTTTCCAGAATGCAATGCATGTGAATGAAATCGAACGTAAATGAGTGAAAATGTTTCGACAGTATCCAGGCACTCTGTGTCACTCTTAGCCAGCCAGATGTGCTGTTGTCTCGCCATGCGCATGTCTGATGAGAGCCCAAGTCACGGTTTCAATCAGCAAAGTAAGAATCTATGGAAGGCCGTTTTCCCCAGTTTAAAAAAATACTAATAATTAAAATAATATACTCGGGCGGGAATCCTGTTTACACCACAAAAAAATGTGACTTGACAGTAAAATACATTTGTCCCGTCCAGATGAAATGAAAGCCTAAAATGGCTCAGAATTTCTGAAATTTCAACGAAGGGAAAACAGAAGTTATGGTGTTCCGTCCCAGTGGGCCGGGCTGGGCCCCCACAGCAGTCTCAAACTTTAAATTGGAACCTGGGCCCAATTAAAAGAGACATTTTTGACTTCACAAAGTGGTTAAATCCTGGAGAGTTTGCGTCACTTTTATTCCAAATATAGCCTTCACCCACACCCCAAAAGAAGTGGCTCTGTTGCACACCCCAGTACTTTCTTTCTTGCCACCAATTTCCTTGTCTGCTGTTAATCTGTACTTTGAATGAAAACATTTGACGTGTGGTGAATAATCCAAGTTTTTTGGTTTTCTTTATCAGCAGATGTTTTTCTTCTCCCTGTCCCCTAATGAATGACAATCTATCACGCTCTGTCACTGTCTTATCTTAATTCCCAAATGTCTAGCTCTTATCTAGAGTTTTGTGATTTATGATTCCCGTGATCTCCCCACGCCACTCACCACGTGGCTCCGCCCCTGCTTCAGATGCTACAACAGCACTGAGGCAATCCACATCAAAATCACAAACAATCTCCTGACTAGGGACTTTTCTGTCCCATCTTTTTCATCCATCTCTGTTTTCCTGTTGACAGTTTCTCATTCTATCCTCCTCAATAACATGTATTCTGTGAGCACCTCTGCCTCCACATCCACTCCAGCTTTAGTCTGTCAAGGCATACCACAAGGTTCTGTACTTAGACCGCTCTGTTTCTATATGTACCTATACATGCTCCCCTCATACTTTTATTCATGTTGATGCATTGTTCTTTAGTCGGTTCAAATTTTTTTCATTTATGAAAACTGAAAATTGTATTTGTAAAACCACAAATAAATGTCATGAACGGGAAAAGGAAATGTAAAAGTAGGAGAACCTCACTCCATTCAGGCCAAAAAGCACATAGACTAGATGTTTGCTGTGAACTAAAAGCCCTCTTGTGTCATAAACAATATTGATTTCTGTTTTCTCACGATGCAGTATTGATGCAACAGCAAGAAGTACCTTTTTGTTGTTATTGTTAATATGAAGTCGATCTCAGCGCTCATCTGCATGTGTTGTACTCCTGAACCTGCAGGACTCCTTCTGGTATGATTGCAGGCATTACTCTGCATGATTATGAGTTTGTTGTTTACAGGCTGTCCTCAACCCACGTCTTTTTAAGGTTACAAGCAGCATGAGGAATTAGATTGCCATCATGCAGAAGAGGTGATGCTCACTTACTGGTGTTCTTAGTATTTTTCATTAGATTGTTATATACAGTATATTCATAGCCGAGAAGAGTCAAGTATGTTTCAGAGTCAAAGCATAGTCTCATAGAAACTATTACATGTATTTTCAAATCTTGCTTTTCTCACTTGCATTGCTTGTAAAAAAAAAAAAAAAAAAACTACATTAAGATGCGCTTTGTTTTGAAAGACAGGTTCATAAATCTTATCAAAATATGTCATTCTATATATTTAAGGATACAAGGTTCTGGTATAGATTTGCATGCAATGAATAATGAGATCCTCGTTATGGGTGTAAAACTGCTATAAATACAATTGGAAACCATTGTCCATTTGTCCGATTATTTCGGCTTTTGTTTTGTGAAGGGTTATAATCGGCCGATTTAATCGTGTAGGCCCTGAAAATAATAATAAAAAATGCGAATATCCGGGTATGGTGAGGTCCACCGTATTTAAAACTCGAATAACACATAGCGAGGTTATTCACACTTCGGACAGTGGTGGGTGAGGCGGTCATGACAGTTATAGTGTTATAGTTGCCGACAGTCATTGAACGCATCGGCAACGAGGCGTTGTTTTGCTTGAATAGGAGCGCCAACATGGCGGCGAGCGGCGACTCACTCGAGTCCTGGCTTAGTAAGTACTAAGTACACTTTAAAAGTCCATTTCAGCCATATAAAATTCCCCTGAAAGAGAAAATAGATTTGTCTGTTGTCAAAGCTGCTTCGGTAGCTGAGAGCGAAATGTATGTTAAGCTTGTGTTTGAATAGTTTCGTGTTGACAGAAAAAGTCGCTCTGACACAGCTGTTCACTATTCGCCCGTTTGTCATTTAGCACTGAGGGGAAGTAACTTTTTGTTGTGGTTGAGCTTCAAAAGTACTTGACCAACTAATTCTGCCGCTGTCACTACACGTTAATACCTTCAGCCCCTGTCGCCTGTCGGCTTTAACGTTTTACTGCAAAGGAGCAGCAACAGGCTTACCCTTGTGTGGACAATTTTATTTTTAAACAAAATATTGAATATTTGGTCTATTAAGAAATGTATGCCACGTTCAGTTAAAGGTGCACAACTACATGGGGAACAGTGGCTTCTGTGAACAAACCGCATCAGTGATCAGGGAAGTAGTTCCAATCCCGAAAAATGACCCACTTACTGATGAAAACAGCAATGCGATGACCACCGTATTTAAAAATGTAGCCAGCATAGCAACCCCGCTACTTTTAACGCCGCTACTGCCCATCACTCTTCTTAAAACTGCGTTTATTACATTATGTTGTGCATCCCTGTATCATTACACCACCTCACACGTTGACCTCCTTCCCCCATCCAGACAAGGCCACCGATCCTTCCAACAGACAAGAAGACTGGGAGTGTATTACGGGATTCTGCGACCAAATCAATAAGGAGCTCGAGGGGTAAGATCACGTTGATACAATCAGTGCAAACATTTCCCACAATGACCAAACACACCCATACAATTCGGCTACTCAGTTTTTGCTCGTTGTGCTTGACGAAGCGAATTGCCAGCTCTCTATGATGTGAACGTTATGATAAATGTTTGTATTGTTGTGCCGCATATTCCCAGACCGCAAATAGCTGCAAGACTCTTGGTACACAAGGTCCATTCACCACAGGAATGGGAGGCACTACAAGCCTTGATGGTATGTCATCTTTATGTACAGTGCAATTTCGTGAGTCAAAAGAATTTTTTTTTTTTTTGGCGGGGGGGGGTGCTTTAGATTCATTTTATTTGGTGCCGGGGCCTTCAGTGAGAGTTTAGCCAACTTAATCAACCTCTTAATACTGGCTCTATTCCTTTGCAGTGATAGAAGCCATCAACACAAACACAACATGACAGCATGCAACTGTACCACACAAGTCACAAATTGATATTTGTCAGGGCAGTCTGACAGGTGGTGGTACAATTAATTAAAAAGGCCATAAAAATGGTGATGAACTTACCTATTGAGCAAAAATGTTGCTAATTGGCTGTCAGCTTTGAAACTTCTCAGCTGCCTGTGACCTGCACATCTGAAAGGCAACTTTCGACATCATTATTATTATTATTATTTAATTAATTTGTTGATTTTCATCCAACAGGTACTGGAAGCTTGCATGAAGAATTGCGGCCAGAGGTTTCAGAACGAAGTGGGGAAATTCCGCTTTCTAAATGAGCTCATTAAAGTGATCTCACCCAAAGTGAGTGACACCAAAAGCGACGAGCAATTTTTACTTTGGATTTTGCATCATCCGGAGCTTTTTACCCCTTTTAGTATCTAGGAGACAAAGTGTCTGTCAAGTTGAAGTCAAAAGTGATTGAGATGATTTACGGTTGGACCATATATCTACCTGAGGAAACCAAAATCTGTGAGGCTTATCAGATGTTGAAGAGTCAAGGTCAGTAAAAGTACAATGGAATGATACTAGATTATATTTACAGTAAGCCATCGCGCTTCTCGTTTTGCGGCTTCAGTGCTTCACCGTTTTTTTTGCAAACGACTATATTCATTTAAAAAAATAATAATCAGAAAATAAAAACGACTCAGAGGCTTTGTATGTGCCTGTACTGTACTGTACATGCCACGGGTCCTCTTCAAGGCCCGATTTGTTCCCGACGCGACATCGACCAATGAGAGCACGAGTGGATTTATCCCGTCAGTTGATTGGCTGTGCATCATCACAACCTCACACAGCACCTTCCCTTTTTGTGTCTCGCATACTCTATCTTAGTGTTCTCGATTACTTTTTTTTAGTTTAAGCTCTAACTTTTTTTGAATAGTTAAGCTGCGCTCCAACCCCTTGCCGGTGTTTCATTGTCCCCATTAACCGTGAAAAACGAGGAATTACTGTACATGCTATTATGAATGTAAATTTATGAGGTAGTTTGGTGTTGTCAAATAATGTGCATTCATGTTTTCAGGCATTGTGTTAGCTGACCCAGAGATCTCTCTGGATGCAAAATTTGTGCCACCATCTCCGTCTCAGCAGCCAAAGAGTCCTGTGTTTGATGATGAGCACAAAAGCAGAGTAAGAGCAACCGTTTTGAATAATTTCACACCCGGCATGTTTGAACACGGCATATCAGCACTGAGCTCACCGTCCTCCTCAGTCTCCTTTTATCCTTAAATTGTCTTCTCATCGCTTTTTTTGGGGCACGTTTGTGTGTGGCTGTTTATGATTGAGTGTGTGGACACACGCATGTGTCCATTGCATGCGTGAACAAGTCGGACTGTCAGAAATTGTGCAAGCTGATTTTCAGATACTGACTGCCATGGGATGTTTATTTACTCATCTGCAGATCAAGGAGGCCTTTATATGTACAAAGGCAGTTCGGGACTGATACTGAAAGATGTAATTAATTTTGTAAAATACAGAATGTTCTTTCTTTAATTCTGAGGTATTTTGAAAAGGATCACATAGGGTCTCTTTGTAGCTTTGTATTCTTCGTCTTATTCTTATCTTGTTTTCACTCTTGACGACAATTGATGGCACACCGAAATGTTTTTTCCCCCATTTGATTTATGGCAAAAATCTGGGCTGTTGGGTTCTGTTTTGTGTGTGTTTGTGTGTGTGTGTGTGTGTGTGTGTGTGTGTGTATGTGTGTGTGTGTGTGTGTGTGTGTGTGTGTGTGCGCGCGCGTG